GATGGTAAGCTCATTAAGAAGTATTAGGAACAGTGCATCTAAGAAAAAAGCTGAAAAGAAAGAAGAATTTCAGAAACAAAGTAGTCAGAATAGTTTAAGTTCATCTATATCATTATCATCAGATACATATGAATATGAGAGTGGTGTTTATAGTAGTCGAAATGATCTCAATGGTCTACGTAAAGGGTAAGAATTACTTGATTCTTGCAAAATTTTTTGTTCAGTTGATGCCCACCTTCAGCTTCAGAAACTCATCAGTTTTGCTCTAAATTTAGTATAGTGCAGTAATTACTGAATAAATCAATTGAAATTGAGTTTCTGTATATCAAACTTTAAAAACAATGATTTGGTCTTGTCAAATGACTCTTTTATCTATTTGGATTTCAGGAAAAAACAACAGGAATCACCTTTTGAAACCAAACCTAAACTGGTTAGATCTGGGGTGAATTTCACAAAAAAAAATAGTTCAGACAGTTTGGATGATGTTGATAATAAAAATGGAGCTTATCATATTGATTATAATCCAAATAGTGGAGTTACTTTCCCTAGCAACAGAAACTCAGATGTACAAATTGTGGGTAAAGGCTATTCTGATGATTCCAGTACTGAAAACAAGATATCACCAATCCATAAACCAAAAGATAGAAAGAGAACAAAAGGTATTAATGATTTGGGTATTTTTGGTAAATTTGATTTTGATATTCTGTCTTCATTTTATGAGTACAATATGGGAACTTGATGAAAAAACTTGTTTAACAATGGGAAATATAGAAATCAGTCTGATTGTATTTAAAAGTTTTCAATGCACAATATCACGCCTTTATTTACCTGCACTTAAAACACTATCTTTATGCTTTGTTATGTTGTGAATGCACTAGAACACTATGTGTGGTATTATTTACAGGCACTCTTATTTCACCTCTTGGTATGGCGTCATTACACCATACAGGTGCTATAGATCTAGATGATGATAGAATCCCGCAACCACATAAAATAACTTTAATTGGAAAGGGTAGGTATAAGTTAGGGATTTGGAATATGAAGAATTTATTTGAGGAGATTTTTATTGATTAGAACGATGTCAATACAAAGCATTTTTATTATAGATTCCTTTTGATGTAATGTATAATTGAAAGAAAAAATTTATCCTTTTGAAAAGCTGCAAAATCATAAGGACTCTTAATTATTCATAACAACACGCTAATAGGTCATAAAATGCCTGTATGTTGTTTGCAGTATAAATCATAATAAGTCTAATGATGCTTGCGATTGACTACCTTTAAGAATTTTTTAGAAAAATTGTGTATGTGAAGCTGTATTAGACTTTGGACCATAATGCCATCAAAGATTCTTGCTGCTAGGGACTACTTTTATAGCCTACTGCTTTCTTCTCTTATGTTTCTTACATCTTCATTCCATTTTATTTTTTTTCATGAGAAGAATGTGTTAGTTGTAATTATTGTCACTAAAAGCATTTCAAAGAAATATGCACAATAGTTACATGTCTTAGAAGTATTTTTACCTGTAATCATTGATTAATTTTATACTCTGACATTTAGATCAATGTTGATAAACACGAAATGTTTGCAAAATTTTTTGATTAGATGAAGATATCTCAGCTCAGGAAGTAGTTAAATGGAAATAATATTTGTTATGTGTTTTCTAAAATCTAAAAGGTTTTTAAACCTAATGCCTTTAATGTGTTATCAGGGTGTTAACTATATCAAAGCAAATGAGACATATGCAGGTTGAATTTGACAAAAAAGAAATTTTGGTTTTGAAATATAGATATAATAAATATAAATAACTAAAAAAATAAATATAATATCTGCTAAATACATTGCTTATTTTATGTCTACAGTAAAAGTAGTTATTGCTTGAAGTGTACAGAAAGCATTGAGTCTTCTACAGGATTTATGCCTCATACAAAAAATAACCTAGTTACGGCCTTGATAGAACTTTTATCTGAATTTATTAAGAATTCAAGATGTGTGTTACTCTTTTACATAGAATATTTTATTCATTGGAAATTTACATATTAAAGAGAAAATACTCAATACTGTCTGTTTGTTTCAGGTGTATTTGATTCATCTGTCAATGGAAATGACCTGTATTCAGGACACTCACCTGATAATCGACCAATCAAATCATTGGAATCTAAAAGTGTAAAAGGTGTATATGGAGTTGGTGTGAAGAATGGGGTATCAGAATCTAACTCTTATGGTTCTATCAATGGTCTGACAGATGATGAAACCCATGTTGATGTAAGTAAATCGAAATGTTCAAACTTGACAAATAATACACATGCTTTGTTTTGCAGAGATATTGCATAAAAGGCCCTACTCAATTACAAAAAATCCGAAACCGTTTGGTACATCAGATTCATGTCGTAAACGAGTGAAACAGATTCAAAAAGCAAGACCAATTAAAAATTATAAGTACCCTATGAATGACGCCATCTTGAATCCGATGAATCTGCCCTAGGAGGCGGATTCAGGGATTCAAAATCAGGGCAAACCGCTGTAAACGAGTGACATGGATTCGGAATCCAGTTTCAGATTGGTTGTAAACGAGTAGGGCCTTAAAGTAAAAGGACAGGGTGTAGCCTGTTTGTGAAGTTTGAGGGTTAACATATGTGAAACATGGCTTAAAAATAGATTGAGAAAAACACCTCTTACTTGATAATTGTTTATAATTGTTCAAAATGTTTTTGAAGCCTTGTTTAAAGTTGAATATCAAAAAGGATAGTGCTTATGTAAATGTACCTGACAATGTAAATATTAATTAACTTTATAGAAAATATACCTGTCTAGACACTAGAAGTTTGATTAATAAAAGCCAACCTTCAATTAACTATTATTTAACTGAGTATGATAAAGACTAGAGTTCCTGAGCAGTGTGTTCTACGCCTCTTTTATAAACACACATATTTTTTTGCTTATAGATAATAGTTCAAACATAATTTCTTGCTGATTGATTGTAAGGATCTCATGAGAAAAAGCATTTATTAATGTTAAAAAATTCAAACAAGCAGAACTTTACTGATCCTAAAATGAAAATCTTAAAACAGCATTTAAAACAGGTTTAACAGACATATCTCTCTGAAATAACAAAGAAAAAAAGTTACTTTATTTTATAAAGAATTCAAAGGAACTTGTTTCCAAGTCCTCTTGCACCAATGTACATTGCAAATTTTCAAATTCTATATCATAAAAATAACAGAGTTAAAACTGAATGTCATAGTGTGAATATTTTAAAATCCAGCTTTCAGTAATACTAATTGTATAAAATAAAATTGCAACAGAAGTATAAACCTAAAATGTAATTTTAAAACACTATTCAAAATCTGAAAAACTAAATATGAAAACAGTTCTTTTATAAGCTTATCACTTCTAACATCTTTTTTTATTTGTCTTTATTGTGGCAATCTCCCTTTAAAAGATCAATGTAACAACCTGTAACTATTAGTTAACAATATAATCATGATAAAATATTGGAGATTTCTTATTGACATGATACCACCATGGTGACGAGACTTAATATTGATGAAATGATTGATACAATTTAATACAAGTACATGTAGTCTTTCATTTCAAATTAATATCTCATTTATAAATCTCCTCTATAAATTATTAGACTTTGATAACTTACTAACAGTTTATATTCAAGATATTATACAAAACCATTTAGTTAACACTTTCAATCTCTGGATTTCTCTGAAAAAAAATTCAACTTTGTTTTATGCAATTAGGATGTTGACATTAGAGAGCTTTTAATCAATATTCTGGCATTGATGTATTTTCACAAGTGAGTTATCATATATCATAGCAACATTCTTTGAATCAGAATAGGATAGATATATGTAGCCTAATGTTTAAAAATTCAAGGATTAAGGTAACTTCAAGCCAGTTCTCAATTTTGGGTTTTTTTGTTTTTTTGAAACAATAGGAAATTCTGTTAATGATTGAAAATCCAGGATTTTACTAAACTGATTTTTGTATGTTAGTAATCTAATTTTTGAAATTTGACCAGTTATCTTCTTAAAGGGGAAAGAAAGATTTGTCGGTTGAGTACAATAAAGAATTGGACCAGATATTCTTTTAACAAAGAATTTTTTTAATGGGAAAAAAACATAATCTCTTATTGATTACTTTTAATGGATGTGAATTTGTTCTTTCTCTGAAGTATTCATGGTAATTATGGATTTCATTTTGTAGGAATCCCCTGTACAAGGTGTAACTATGACAAAAGCATTTCAAGATCGAATTAATCAGAAAAAACAAAAACTAAGACAAGAAGAATTAGAACAGAAAAAATTGGAAAAAGAACGAGAAAATCAAATATTAAAAGAAAAAGAAAGACAAAGGGAAAAATTACAACGACTTAGTAGCAATGAAAGTTTTGGTATAGAAAGTAAGCATTGTCTTGATTTTAATAATCAATTGATGTTCTAGACCCTTTTTACAATCATTTAAAGCTTAGAACATTACTTTACTTCAATAGGCTAAATTCAAAAGGTTAACAGTGAATATTTTTAAGAAGTCTAAGTAAAAAAAGTGTGATATATGCATAGGAAATATAGCACAAAAATTTTGGGAAACAGTTTCTCAGGAGGGCACCCAAGCAATGTTTGTAACAAAAGTTGGCATGTTATAGCTTTATAAAATTTATATGAAGAGTAATGATAATTCATATTTTTGAAAAAAACATTTCCTAACAATCAGTTTCCACAGTGATTTTTGTCCTATGTTAATTTCAGCTTTATCTATAAATGGATCAAGTTCATCCCCTCAGAGTCCTGTGAAAAATAATCCACCTAGACAACCCCCTCCTGCTATCACACCCAGAAAAAAGATCAAAACGTAAGTAGTAACCTAGCATAATTTTAATATATTTTTTCATAATAATCTGTATAAAAGATTCTGTTCACCTTAGTAACATATTATTTAAAAGCCTTTTCTCCATATTTCAGCACAAGTGAACCTATTTCTAGTCATCCTATGTCAGCACAATCATCACCACCACAAGATACAGAGAATCCTGAAGATTGGAAGCCAGTACGTGATCCTGATGCTGCATTGAGAGATGCTCTTAAAAAACTCTCTAATGATGATTGGTAAGTTTTAATGTGCTTACTAGGAAATTGAGGGAAATAGTTTCAATGAATAAAGCTATCTGTATATTTGATTGTATAGGGATATAAAAGTGCTAGAGTTCATCTTTTAAATCTTTTTATATGATTGCAAAATAATCTATATGTATATTTTTTTTATGAAAATGTGAAGAATGAAGGTATTAATGCAATATAAGTCTATACTTTCCAATTTGTATTTTGTTTACAGAAGAAAGAGGTATTGATGTATATTTAGTATTTTTGGAAAAAAAGACTAATGATATGAACAAGATTAGACACTATATTATGTTTACTGAGAATGAAGAATGAGAGTATGAATGTAAAAACAAGAATCTGTATAATTTGTTTACAGGGAAATGAAGAATGAAGGTATTACATATAACAAGAAAAATCTGTATATTTTCTTTACAGGAAGATGAAGAATGAATGTATTTGATCTAATTAGAAGAATCTATATATTTTATATTTTGTTTGCAGGGAATTGAGGAATGAAGATAATAACAAGAAGAATCAGTAAATTTGTATATTTTGTGTTTTGTCTACAGGGAAATGAAGAATGAGGGTATTAATCTTATAAAAAGGATTTGTATATTTTGTATTTTGTCTACAGGGAAATGAAGAATGAGGGTAAATTATTCTAATAAAAAGGATTTGTATATTTTGTATTTTGTTTACAGGGAAATGAAGAATGAGGGTATTAATCTAATAAAAAGGATTTGTATATTTTGTATTTTGTTTACAGGGAAATGAAGAATGAGGGTATTAATTAATAAAAAGGATTTGTATATTTTGTATTTTGTTTACAGGGAAATGAAGAATGAGGGCATTAATCTTATAAAAAGGATTATTATAATTCGTATTTTGTTTACAGGGAAATGAAGAATGAGGGTATTAATCTAATAAGAAGAATCTGTATGTACCATCCTCAAGTTATAATAGGAAGTTTACATACTGTGGTAGTGGCTATTAATGCTGAGGTATTTATCACTCTTTTTATATTAGCTATTATTAGAATTAATTATTAAGGTTTAATGTTATTTTCTTTTATGGGATGGTCTTTATGATACATGAAGATATCAAGTTTTTAGCACAGAATTGGTCAACTGTAATAATTTGTGGAAAGAAATTACTTTATTGGTTCTATTTTCATGTTCACGTGTTAAAGGTAGTTAACTATGAAAGGGATTTAGTTTGTCAACAATTCATGAATGTCAGTGAGAAATGAAAGAATGGTGCTCTTCAGACTCCTGTCCTCTGTTTAATGATCTATAAGTTTATTAATTCTTGTTAATATTAAAGGTGAAGAATTTAAGATCTCAAGTATCCAGATTGGCTATTGTATGTTTAGGAGATATGTTTACATATTTAAAGAAAGGTCTTGATCCGGTAAGTATAATCTATTTTAAATTTTCTTTAAAAACAAGAATATATGATTTTCTAGGGCTGAATCACAGCTTCAATGGTCATTAGCTGGAAAGACAACAAAGAAATTTTGCATTTTATAATAAATACAAATTATTACAAAACAAATTGATGGTAGACAGTCAAATATAGGATGAAGTTTAATTTATAAAAAAGATACTTATTAATATTTCACTTCAATGTAAATCAAAACATGTTTTTTTTTATTTTTAATAGGATTTAGATTGTACAGTAAGAACATTATTAGCTAAGAATGCTGAAAGTAATGCCTTTATTAAGAATGATGTAGAGAAAGCATTAGAATGTATGGTAGATAATGTGTCACCTGCCAAAGCCTTAACAGCTTTAATATCTGGTGGTGCAGAGTAAGTTTTCATGCATTTTATTTTTGGAGCATCTTTGAAATGCTTTAATGGTTGTTCTTGCATATATCCAACCAAAGCTGGCACAGTATCAATACGACTCAATGAGTGCTGAAATCTTAGGGACACGCCAACTTAATGATTGGAAGGCACAAAAGAATTTGCTTGGTCATTTGTCTTGTAACATGATAAACAGGCGTTTATTTTCCCATAATGATAACAAGATCTAGATTCATTCCTTACTAAAATCAGAGATGTTATTGAAATTTACGTAAACCTTCCTTGTTTGAATTTTATAGACACAAGAGTAGTAGTGTACGTAAGATGACAGCTCAGTTTTTAGTTGAGATGTGTGAGAGAATGGGACCAGGTCGTGTATTAAGTGGTGTAAAAGATATAACAGATAAAGTCTTACCTACTGCTGCTAAACTTATGCAAGATGGTTCTCCAGAAACAAGGTATGGAATAAGTACTGTTTCTATTATATTAAATGGTTTAGAAAAGAAAGTATTTGACACGAACAATAACTGTTCTCAATTATCTGTTCCTTGATCACACCTCCTAATCCTTATCCATAATCAGTTAATTTTCCTAATCCAAATGTGTAAAACTTAGTTGTCCTTGAAAAAGAATTGAATAATATGAGATCTTTTGGAAATACAATAATGATCCTGACCATTTTAATTTGCTTACAATAGACTTAAAATGGGAGAGCTTTATTAAGGTTTATAGAATATTTAAAAGTCAAACCATTATTTATAAAGTTATAAGCAAATGAAGTTTTTACCAAGATTACTCCTTCTATGCCAATGGAAAACCAAAATCCATTGCATTAATACATTATTGGCCATTTAAATGAAGCTGATACCCACTCTCTCTTTTATATGACTTTTTGTTTGACTCTAAAGAAAGCTAGCACTGTTAAGGTTATAAATATGTAGAATAACTGTATTCTTGTATTTTCAGATATTATGGAAGAAAGATATTTTATAATTTAATGTCACATCCTGACTTTGATAAAATGCTCAATAAACATGTCAATTCTAGTACATTAAGAAATATACAGGAAAACTTAGATGCTTTAAAACAAAAAGGTTTAGGTGATATGCCTGCTGAATCAACTTCTGCTAAATCTCGAAGATCGGGTCATGGAAGTCGGTCCAATTCTTCAGTTCGTAGCAATTCTGCTAGCAGGTGAGATGATTTGCTTCATTAATATTTATGTAATGTTCTGCCACTTTTTATGGAATGAGCCAAGTACTGTGTATCTTATTCATGTCTATGACATACAGTGATACACGATTGTGTTTTTGTTGCCAAAATATTAGAGACTGTCTACCTGAAATGGCTACCATACTCTTTGACTTTTATGATTCATATTTTGCTTCCAGTGCTGGTGATGCTTTGAATACCCCTCAACCAAGACGTAAAGCAATGAAAACTGATTCAGCTACAACAGAAGAGATTCATCAAGTGATAAATCAACTAGGCTGTAATAACTGGAATGATAGATATAAAGCTCTACAAGACTTTCAGGAATTATGTGAAACAATACCTGAACAAATCACACCACATACTATAAAGGTTTGAGATTTTTACTGCATTTTGTCAACAGTATATGCAATTTTGATATTAATTGATCGGTCAACTGATGTATAGAAGGAATCAACTACTCTATTTTCAGAGCAAAACTGAATATGTGCAAATTGGAAAACAGGCATTACAGATTGTTTTTCACATGAAAGTGTTCAATGTCTCATTGTAGTAGATCGGAAAGTAAAATGAGTTGTTCTTTAATTTCAGATTTTCGACAAGTTTTCGCCGCGTTTAGTGGATTCCAATAGTAAAGTAAATTTATTAGCATTACAAGTTATGAGTAATGTTATACCAAAGTTAAAAGAGAGTTTAGCTAATGTTCCTGTGTTAAATATTGCTGTTAGTAATATAGTACCCAATTTATCATCAAAAAATAAGGATATTTTACAAGCTACCAGAACGGTATTAGATCAGTTAGTTGCTAATATTGGTAAGTATTATATCATGCCAATTTTTCATAAGATTTGGTTTCATGAAGGGAGTTGCTTATAAATCATACTGTCACATTCTTAATCAGGAAATTTAAAGAGATAAATTATAGAAACTTTGAGAAACATTTTCTTAACAATATGATAGAGCTCAATTTCAGCTAAGTTCGACTCATCAGAAGTCTGTCAGCTTGGTTCCCCATCAAAAAAAAATTTGTACAGTGGAAGTTAAGATTGTCGTCACTTTCAGTGCCTTATTAACGTTCTTAATTTAGTTAATACAGATGACATCATAAAACTGTGCTTAAATAGTGCCTCTTCTAGTTCTATGAAAAAGCATTAAATAAAGACTGTGAGGAATCATGATGTAGGTGTATGCGTAGTGAAGGAATTACATCATTTTTCAGATCCCTGTATGCTGATTGAACCATTTGCAACACAGGCAATTGCTGCTGGTCCCAGAAGTAAACCAGAAATTGTAGAAAAAGTGGCATGTAAGTTTTTTTTTCTTGGAAACCTTAACAATTCAAAGCTTCTTTGTTCTGAAACTGTCTGTTATTCTTGAATTATATGCAGGTAAACATTTCCTTGAGAATCAAGTTTCTTTTGTTTCAAATGTTTTAATCAATTTCTTTCAGATTTGGTTCAAAAGGTCTATGTCAGAAAACCAAAAGTTGTCATTCTTCGTGTATTGCCATTAATGTGGCACCTTCTTCAGGCAACGAATTCCAGTGGCGCTGTCCATGGTGGTAGTGTAGATCTTCGTTCAGCATCTTCACAATTAGCCAGCATGTTATATAGTTTAATGGGGCATACACTGATAGAAAAAGCACAAGCTGATCATAATGTAACACCAAGACATTTAGAATTATTACATGATTTAAAGGAAGGATAAACTATAGTGATATATCTTAAAATGGTTTTTATTGGGTGTATGAAATCAAAATATATTTATTTTCTTTTGTTATTTTTCACAACATTCCACAAGAATTGGCATTCACATTGTTAAAGAAAGGCCTATTTCCAGCATTTCAAAGAAAACTTTGAGATTTGTTTTGTCACGCCATGTTATAGTTTATTTTTTGAGAGGACTGAAGACCAATCTGTTGATGCTAACAATGAGATTACAATTCATGTGAGGCAAATCTTTTTAATTTGTAATCTGGAAGTAAAGTAAGGTTGAATTAGATTATATTTGACAGGATAATTATGGTAACATTTTTTTACAGGATTGCTAAAACAAATCCTGAAACCTGCCAAATATTTTAATGAAAGAAGTACTTTAATATTGGTATAACATCAACAAACAATTTGAGTTTTTACTTAAACAATGAGTATGTTAATAACATTGTGCTTTGTCACTTCTACTGTATTATGGGTAAATTTACATCATTCCGTCCACAAGAAATGTAATAATTTATTTTATGTTGTAACTTTTTTTTTATATTTACTAATCCTTGTAGTCATTGCCTTAAATATGATGAACCTCAATTTTGAGTGAAAGTTAATAACTTGAAAATCAGTTATGATCAAAATATTAAGAATTTTGGTGCAAGAATGTTACTTGCCTTAGTTCAAAATTGAGGTGTCACAAATACTATAGGATTCTATATTCAGAATTATTCCAAATTTATATATTAAAAATTGTCACAAGCTAAGTTTTTGTATGATATACCTCTATATTGTATATAGATATCTATATTATTGTTATCAATAGCTTTCCTGTGATATTAAATACATAGTACATGTTATTCTTATGAGAAATAAGGGTCAGTGAAGATACCTGCATGCTTTTAGCTAATTGATCAATTGTCTTAGCAAACAGAACATGTTACTATTTGGACACAGAATGTGAAAAAATGCTATGACTGGTCATGAGATAAAAAGTGGTGTAAAAAATATAGTTTTGGCCAGTGGTTTGTTACAAGATGCATCTTAAATTTAGATTCTTTTATTAATTTAAGATGTTGGATGGTGTAAGTTTATTGTCCTGTTACATCTTGGCATACTGTATAAAATATATTATTGGAAAACTGTTATAAGTGCAGAAAACTGATTGCAAGTTTCTTATAATTCAAGAATCTGAAGTTATGATATGTCTTACTTCAAGCTTGATAGTATTAGTATTATCTTTGTTATTGAATTTCATTGCCCTGTGTATAGATATAACCTATTGATAAATATCACTCATTTAAGTGTGGTCTAGTTATTTTAATTGTATATAAAACTAACTGTGATAGTTGTCATATATTTCTAGTTATTTATATTGAAACTTTTACTTTCTACAATACATTACATACTATCACTTGCCAACAGTCAAAGGAAAACAGATCAAAATGCCCCAAACAAAAAGTTGAATGGACAAAAAGATTCTCTATTGCTATGTAATTTAAACTTATTAAATTCACAGAAAAGTACAGTGAACAGTTAAGATTTCACAAGGAAAAATCAAGAGAGATAGGTAGACATGACTTTGTATATGAATTACTAAGTATTTGATGTGATAAATTTCATATGAAATATTAAGTGCTTATTGATAATGTATGTAATGTTAGTATTTGTCAACATATTATTCTCTGTGTATATGTATATATTGTATTGTGATGTTTACATTTTAATGGAAGTGTAAATTTACGCTTGTTTACTTACATGTATATTTTATTTGAATGCTATATTTATTCACATTGTTACTATTTATAGTTATTTTACCAAAGTTGATTGGTTCCGTCCATTTTTATTTTCAAAATCTGTCCAGATACATACAAATACTTCAATTACTAGGCAGGAGTTCATTTTAACTTACATTCTAGAATATATTTTGGTAAAAAAAAATTCTAAACAAAAGAAAGTACATTTGATATTTCATAATGCACAAGCTATAGGAATGCAAATATATTTGCACATCTTCAATACTTCAACAGTCAAGTGTCCCATCTTATGGTGCCTGCACACAAATGGTCTTGGTCGATGTTTTTCGTCGACTAGAACCTGGCAAAGAGTTTTACTGACAGGCTGCCGGCACATGAAGAGACACGAAATCCCCAGTCAGTTCTTTCCAGTTCTGATTGGATGATGACGCTTTCAGACAATAAAACAAATTAACTGTTTTGATATTATAAATCCTGTCGGCAACGTGATTATCTTGTCGTGGACACGTGGTAAATTTTACTTTAGATTCAAGTCAGAATCAAAATTAATAGTAAAGACAGTTTAAAAGATAATAGTATTTGGTATGTCTGGTCAAACATTCCATTCAAATTACATTGAACTATTTTGCAATACGAAGTTATAATTCCGTCCATTCCTCTTACATATCTCTTATGTACTTATAACTTACATTTTATTTTGCAGATTTATATTTCTATTTTTCATATTTTAAAAATGATAAGTAAGCTTTTATGAGTAGAAGAATTATGTATATGGAGTACAATACTTTACACTGAATTCTACATAATATGCCACATATTATTCTGTATTTTTAGATAATTAAGCTTGAAAAAAATACAGAGAAATGCATTATCTACTAAAAGTATATTGAAGTATATTTGATTTCTTATTTAGAATTTGCTTATTCTAACAGATTTTATAACTTCTTGTATTGTCCTTGAAATCATTTCTTAAGTGTAATATTAGTGTGATATGTTATAAATTTTATCATTTAGATGTGAACAATTTTAAAGCACAATTAACTCTATCTTTTTAAGGCATTCAATAAATGAAGCAGTAATTAGAATGTAGTCTAAATTTATGTTAGTCGTAATATCTTTGGCTTTCAAATTAAGCACACAAAATTTTCATTTAATATTTATAGAAACATTGTAAATTGATGAATTGTTTTTGCTTTTAATCTGTTAAAAACAAACTTGATATCAACACAATAAAGGTTATACAATTATTACTTATTTAATTCATAATGTCCGTTGGAATTGACATAGACATAAGTTAGTGACTGGCTAGCGTTAATTTCCAACCAGTTTGATCCTTAAAGCACCAGCATATGCCCATTGTTGAATAACACTTCAGGATGAATGCAAAAATAATGGGAATCGATTCTACCTTCTTGATGAATATAGCTGAAGACAAATATGGACCATCTTGAAAAAATATTTCTATATTCCCTTTAACTGTGAAAGCATAATAATGTACACTGGGACAAAAAATATTTTATTTGCTTAGTATCTACTATAATTAGTAGGATAAATCAAAACAAAGTATGGCACAGTTCCATCTTACAATCATCAACATCAATTCTGTCTCTGAAAAAAATTGTTTCTTCTTGTTAATACACATTTTGGATCCAGGTAAACCACAGGGAGCATATTCACATTAAATAATCACTTTACACTTTTTATAAAGCTGTATAACATAATGTTCAATTAAAATAAATAATAATAACTATAATATATAAACACTATGTTATCTATAGCCTAGAAATTCATTTAGTCTATTGTTCCACATCTCCCATCTTGTCAGAGAATTCACTGGGTGAGAATCTGGGATGTTTTCAACTACTTCAGGTGTAATATGAAAACCATTCAATGTAAAATAACTATCTATATCGGTACGACACATTGGACATGTAGTTAGTTTATTAAAACATTGATAACAAACACAAGCATGTCTACATGGTAAAATAACATGAGATATCACAAATACTTGACATACTACACACATATCTTCATCAGCATTATTACTGTTATTATCATTGTCAGTACTGGTAGATACAAATATTGACTGAAATATATAACAACATTCTCTTAATCAGAATGAAATCAACTTAAAGGGACAGGTTTGCATGCCCAATCGTAACTTAGTCTCAGAAACACATTTTTTTTTATCTAAGCTAATCATTAATAGTGTTCACAGATCATTGTCAAAATTTTAATAATTATTCCAGAATTATCTGCATTTGAAAGATTGCCACATATAGAAAAGGCATATGTAAAAATAAAAGTAAAATTCTTAGTTTGAGTTATTTTTGAGAGAATTTTATGTGATTTACATTTCTAGGTATTCTGAAGACTATTTACTCCACTATATTGTTCCATTTGAAAATCTTAATGCTTTTAATCCTTCAGACCTGCATTACTGACAGGGAGTAATTAGGTTAAGAAAACCTATGGTGTGATCAAGCCCAGAACCGTCCAGGGCTCTCATTAGGTGACTCATTAGATTATTCAGAATAATAAATATATACCTGTAAGTTAAAAACTTGACCTTGATTTAATTTGATATATTGACCTATTATATAGGATTTATAAACAGCATTTTCATCTTCAACATGGAATATTGTCATTAAAATTTTCTGCAAAAAAATTTTAATTTGATAATTTTTCTTTATCAGGTTTTTTAAAATAACACATTATACAAATAATCTTTTCTTCAATAATAATATAATTATGAACTGTTAAGCCTTTCTCTATTAAATGCAGGTTACCCTGAGATCAGATTATCATTCTGAGAAATGTTAAGGGTCAATAAAAATCTAGCATTATTCATTAAAGAAAATAAGTGGATGACAGGTTAAGAGTGAATAGGAAGGGTTCAACAATCTGCAATCTTGGAATTCCTGATAATTTACTAATACCTGGTAACTGGTTTTCTACATACCACTTTATTTTCATGTTCTTTTTCTTCAATATACTCTTTATTGTACATTAACAGTACCAAAGGGTAGAGTTTCCTTGATGGATGTCCAAAATCACATGTCTCTAAACTGGACGGACAATTTAAGTAAATTTCTTCAGAACAGTTGGCAAACCTAGAAAATTGAACGAATTGTATCATTATTATGGTAATTTGCAAGGTACTCAACTAATGATGTGAATACAAAATCACTGTATCTCTCCAAATGTAATGACATTTAAGCCTTATTCCAGAAACAATAAGTACTAAATCCAAAATCAGTCAAGACATGTTTAAACTAACATAGAGGTCATTAAAAAAGACAGAAGCACTAATAGTCTTGTAGAAGACTTGTAGCTTGTATGGATTAGATGAAATTTCCAGAAATTCACTTACCCATCAATTTTTTTAACATGAAGACTATGATTATTTAAATACATTGAATCTTCCAATTCTTCCTTTACAATTGCTGTACTTCTGAGAAAAGCTTTAAAAACGTCATCAATTGGAGCTCCCCAAATGAAATACATAACAACAGGTTGCGTATAACTGACTTTTAGATATATACCATCTGAAAAGGTTTAAGTACATTGACTAATACAAATCAAATTTTCATTTTTAAATGAAATAAATTCCCCTTAAGCTGAATTTTGCTAATGCAAAAAAAGACAATACACTATTGCACACAGTGAATAGTTTTGCCAGCACAGTGGCACTGGTGATATGGCTGTACAAATTTGAAGCAGGGTAGGCCCTATCTTGAAATGATGAGATTAAATAATAAAACATTCATTAATAAATGTGTCTAATCACTGAAAACTTCTTCAAAAAGATTTCAAATACAACTTTACCTTTAACAGATGTATTTTTCTTTCCCAACTCACAATAAAAAGGATTTTTTATATACATCATTTCATTTTTTATAGGAGGACTGTTAAATGCAATGATTCTTGATGAAAAGATGTGTTCAGCATTTAATCTGAAAGATAAAATAGACATTTTTTTGGATCTTTATCTTGGCTTTGTCTCAATTGTAAACAATTAAAAATACTCTACATAGTCTACATCAGTCTAAAACAGTAACTTTTAACTGTTATGTTGCTTAATTTTTCATATCTGAGTAGTCAAGATATTGCTTACGTATAACAGTTTCAGCAATAGTAGTCAGAATGAAATGTCTTTCACCTGATAATTATTAAATTAGTTTAGCAAGTTTAGCAATCTACAGTGATAACAGATTATGGTGGTTGAAAGCAAACAAGTTCAACTATTCAACCGAAGCCACTGGCACATTGTTTCAGCTGTACGACCAACCCATAAGAATGTTGATACAGTTCTCTTACCTGAAAATAAATATGACCATTCCACAGAAACACAGCAGAACTATAATGATGGAGTAATAGTTTGAAATATTTGCAAACCATGACAGCAATACAGATAAATCGTCTGCCATTATGAAGTATAAATACCAAGCTAAAGGGTCAAAGGCCATATAGATCTGACTATGTCAGACACTGATCTTGGAGTTGGAACCTGTCCTGTGCCTGTGGTTGTATCCAAGATCTTCCACTACCACTACTACTAGCCACATGATTCATGATGATTTTCTAAACTATTTAATTGATACCAAACGAAGGATTAGTTATTAATCTTAATACATATGTATGGATTTAATTTATGTTTTTCTGTTCACATTTTCACATACTCTAACTCTAGCCTACTGATTACTTCACTATCTTCAAAATAAAAATATATCATTACAACCAAAAGGTATCCACACTTATCGTACCTCCCAGGAAGAAGAGTTTGTATCATTTTTCGTTCATCCAGACATTTTAGTAGAAGATAAAGAATAAACCTTTATGTCCTCCATAGGCTACAGCCCTTAACACGTTCCCCTATACCCTTCATTTTAGATTTATTTATTCAATATTGGGTCTACGTGATACATATATTTAAAAAAAGTTTTCATTTCGTGAACTGGACGAAACACTGTCAATTATCTGCCCTTAAAATTACACTCCAAACTAATAGGATTGATTATGGTATATAGAACTACTGAATTAGATTGGCCTCGTTGAGAATAAGATAAGCCACTCCAGCAGGAGTTATTGTGTGTAGATGATGTTTGTTTTGTCTGCAAGTAGGATTGCCTAAGTACTTTCACATATGAAGCTTAAAAGAATAGGTTTACACGCTCGATCATTACCATTCAAAAGTAAGAACTGATTTTCCCGCCCTTCAGGCATCAATGTGACGTCGATGTAACCAAACGTATGACCTTCTCGCTGTCTAGCTGAGGTAAGTGAGGATTTTTAAAGTTGTTTTAATGATTTTATCAAATATATGTTCAGTTCCCCACCCCTCTTTTCTTCAATAGCCTATGATTTCCCACTGGCACTACCTCTACTGCTAGCCTAGACTTAAAATCTAGAATTTACCCAATACAAACCAATGGAGCATACGTATATTGTAGGCCCTACTCAGTGCTAGGCCTACTGTATAGTGCTAGGAATAATTATCGAAAAATCGATTATCGCTCTTATGTCATGTACCGATAACGATACTCGATAGTTCATTTCAAAATCGATTATCGCAAAAATTAACATAACCTCCGGTAATTCTGTTAAATTAATCCCGGGACCATAATAAAAACACGCTTTCGTCAGTCACGTACCGCAAAATAAACTAAGCTTAAGTCTTTATTCTCGTATGTTCTTGCATTTCTTTGATTGTATATGATCATAACAATCATTAATAAGAAAAATTTCATTCACAATAAATTAGTACACACATTTGTTATTAAACGTATATATAATTAACTGAATACAGGTACCGATATTTGGGCATGACTTTCCCTTTATTTTTCACACGATTGTAGTTGTCTCCCTTCTTTTATCAAGTCTAATTACGTAACGACAATGCTGATTGGATAATCAGTGCTGTTTATAAATAGAAGGCTAATCACAATTCGTATAACAACGGTGCTATAGTATTTTAGTCTTGGTTGTCAAGAACGTGTGATGAAGTCTATTATTACCATTCAACGGTACATTTATGCCGATGGCGATATTGACGAAAACTAATCTTGCAAACGTCTTTAAAACAAAAAGATTGGCCACATAGCGAAGAACATGATAATAAACACAATGCACATACTAGCATCTAACACTAGCATTACATACAAGTAAGTGGTAGGCAGCCTAAATGGTACTTGAAATGAGTCGACTATTTGACCTAAAATTTGAGTACGGTATCAACATTACGATTTTTATCGATCGGAAATGCCTAACGATATATTGCCGATAATCGATGATAATTTTAAATTCGATTCCCAGCACTAGTACTGTAGGCCTACGGCTATATTATACAAGTTACTCTTCGTCACACCTTCATGCAATTTTCAATAAATTACTGTAGCCTACAGTATTTTACTCTACAATATAGGCCTAACACCCAGGACACCCTACTCTTATCTCTATCAATTTGTAATTGGGAATTGTACTAAATTACCAATAGGCTTACTTTGGAAACAACAAAAGCATTTCTAACTCATCCGGCCGACCATCGTATTGTCAAACATGAATAGGCTTCATCAGTGCTTCTCAACAAGCAACGGAGGAATCGTGGGACCGGAGAGGAAATGGGAGGCTAAGTTATCTGCGACTGAAATTGACGGCATTCACCCCGGACATACAGAACGAACATTTGTCGAAATTATAGGACAATTGCTGTATCCTTAGTACCTCTCGTTGAAAAAAGCTTTAGTGGAAAGTCGCCAAGTAAGAAACTGGCGGTTCTATGAAACAGTGGGTAGAGGTGCCGAGTGGGGCCACATAATTGCCAAAATTGGGGGAGGGTATGCGGGGAGCAGCAGTCATTTAAGAACTTAATGAATTGAGGGGAATGGGCAAAGCCGGTAGAAACGACACTCTGGTAGGAAAAAGCAAAATAATTATGCTGTATTCGTTACCTCTCGGGGCGCTTCCCGGTAGGAAATAGCAATTGAAACCTGATAAATCCACTCTTGAGCAAACTAATTTTGAGCAGCTCAACGCAAACTCAAACAATCAATGTCTCACCATAGGGAGACTAATAATAAATAATATAAATGCCCAAGTCTAGAGTAAAATTAACGTTTTATTAGCTGCCCCTCGTAAATAGACTGCCCATGTGCGTTCTGTCTTGTTACGTTCTTATTAAATGTATGAAAAACTAGTGACAAGTGATTGCCTTTCTATTTATCTTAGCTTCGCGGATTTTCAACCATTAGAGAGCTATATGTATCTTAGTTCTATATCTAATCCGCTATTTATGTCGATATTATTCTATATTTTACTGACATGTTACGTCTTGCCGCTGACCTTATTATAAATATTTCACAATACTAGTAGATCATCAATATACTGATAAAACATGTCGGCGAGAGGAGGCAAGAAAAAGCAATTGAGAGGTCAGAAAACACGGTCTCAACGGGCAGAGGTCTTGTTCCCTGTTGGACGGATGTTGAGATATCTCAAGCGAGACACACATCACTTCCGTATTGGAGCCGGAGCACCAGTCTATGCAGCTGCGGTTATCGAGTATTTGACAGCTGAAATTTTGGAGCTCGCCGGTAACGCTGCTCAACATAACAAGAAACAACGAGTTACTCCACGGCATATCCTATTAGCTATTGCCAATGACGAAGAATTGCACACTTTATTGAAACATGTCACGATACCACAAGGAGGGGTGTTACCAAGAATTCATCCCGAATTATTGGGTAGGAAAAAGGGTGGACAATTTCCAAATTATCCTAATATACCAGTACCCTTACCCCCGACTATACCCGCAACAGGAAAGAAACCCTTAGCATCTAAACCATCAACAGTGAAGAAAGTTATAACAGGGAAAGTGATTAAGAAGGCAAAACTCAAAGCACGGAAAGTCAAACCTTTAGTGAAAGCAACAGCCTCTGTTCTTAATGGACCAAAAGGATCCAAAACTGGAGATGCTCTCACAGACAGCAGTGGATTTACTATTTTATCAGAGAAAAAGTTGTTTCTTGGGCAAAAGTTATCAGTGGTTGAGGGAGATCTCGTGAAAATGGCTGCTGATGCAATAGTGCATCCCACAAGCTCAAACTTTTACATGGGTGGTGAAGTAGGGACAGCAATAAATGCAGCTGGGGGAAAAGAGTTTCGTCAAGAAGTTGAAAGTCTTAGATCAAGTCATGGTAACTTGGATACAGCTGGTGCAGCTATTTGTCCTGGAAGGAAATTACCTGCAAAATTTGTAATTCATGTTAATAGCCCTTCTTGGTCAGATGGAAATGCAACAGATTTGTTACAGAAGGCAGTCCATAACATCTTTGCCTTAGCTGATGAAAAAAATCTTAAATCAGTTGGAATTCCATCTATTGGTAGTGGTCATGGTGGATTCCCAAAACAAGCAGCAGCACAAATCATCTTGCAATCAATCAATGCATATTTTAATAAAGTTACATCAAGTACTTTAAAACAAGTCTATTTTGTTTTGTATGATGTAGAGAGTATAAATATTTATACAAGTGAATTAGGAAAACTAGATGCATAGTGTGTTTTATTTTATTTATTCATTGTTATCATTCATAGATTTGACGTGTTAAAATCACTAACTTTTGTAATTGTTAACATATTAAGCATTGTTAAACTCTGTTTTATTTTTTCAGTTTATGCATGTTTAGTACATTAATATTAATGTTAAATATCAACAACTATATATTTTGTTGTCTGATGCATCACATTGTTGCAGCTGTTCTTTGTCACTAGTACATGTACAGCTTTCCTCTACTCAAAATATTAACATGGCTTTGAAATGAGTTGTGTTTTTCATATAATCCAACAGTACTCTTTGAAGTTGTGGTCCATGTGGTTTGGTAATATTCATTTCAGGCTGTTTCTTGTTGATGTGTGCAGTAGCAGTATCAATTTTACCATGTTGTCTGTGGTAATAAGTTCTTGAAACACAAATTCAAGACTTCTGCTTCATTATTCGATATTTTAAATGCATTTAATGCGTTCTTTTAAACATGATATTAACATAGAATGTTTTGATTCTTTCAATGCCAATAATCAAGTCATGTCCCAACCTAAAGAACCAGTAATCTGTGATCAATCTTGTTGATTTATCTATTTAAAATTGTTAATTTGCTAATTTGTGTAATATGTTTGATTTGTGATATATATGAAGCAAGTTGCTTGTCAGTTTTTCAGTGATCAATTATAATCTTATTAAATTATATAGTATTGATTCTTTCATAATAAATACATGTCTGAACAAATTTATATCTTCTAATGCTTTCTTAAAACTTTTCTCTTAATGTAACATAGAAGTATACAAAATGCAACCGTGCTTACATAAAAGAATGCAGAAAATGCGACTTGATATTGCACCGTTAAGCTTATGGTTTTAATATGGCTCAAACGTTGAAGGCAGGCGCAGGGATCCACATAGGAGTCATGTTATAAAGGTTTTATGGGTATTAAGGCCATTGTTGATGGTCGGTAAAGACATAAACTCGTTACACCCTGTTGTAAGCAACGAAACCGTCAGCCGAGCAATATTTGGTAGTATTTGCAACGACTGGATCACTAACCACAAATGCCATCCTCGGTTACCGTAAAGTTAAGTGGTTTTCCAGAATAATGCTAGGATGGTGGTGCTCGATTATCAGTAAAAATAGTGCCTACTTGCACGTAATGCAATAAATGGTGGCGCCCCTTGTTTTTACCGAGTGCCCCACCGGCCAATAACAATCCCTAATACGTCGGTGGTGCGGTGTCTTGAATCCTCCGCCATCCCGCCAGGTCATTTGGGACTTGATATTCGTACGTTTTTCTGATGCTGGCTGCAATAAAAAGTTGGAATGAATGTTTTTATTACGTATGACGAAACGAAACAATAAATAAATCTTGTTCTTTTTCAACAAGCATAAGTGAGGAAGTAGTTCATAATGAAAAGTGGGATAATGTGTCTAGAATAGTAAGCATACACTGCCTGGCACCACACCAGGATCATGTTTTAAATACTGGTATCTATAATGAGAAGCGCTGCTATGCAAATTTGGGATTTTTTGCCAGCCTTTCCTTTTTATACATCCACATTAAATGAGGGGTGTATATTGTCGTCACCCTGTCCGTTCGTCCACAATTGCTCGTAAACACTCTCCAAGGCACAATTCTTGATTGAATTCGACGAAACTTGGTATTGTTGTTTGTAATCACCCAAGGATGAACCCTATTATAAATCAGAAAAATCGAAAAATATTGGTATGAGTTTTTTGCCCTTGTTCTTAAAACGCTCGTAAACAATTTAGAAGGCGCAATTCTTGACGGATGTTGATCAAATTTAAAATAAAAATGAAAAAAAAATAATTAGTATGAGTTATTGCCTTTGTTCTTGAAAACGAGTTCAATTTTACCTTGGTTTGTAAACACTCTAGAAGGCACAATTCTGGACGGATTTTGACGAAACTTGGTATGAGTGTTTGTAATCACCTAAGGATAAACCCCATCGAAAATCTGAATAATTGAAAAATATTTAGTATGAGTTATTGCCCTTGTTTTTTTAAAACGCGTTGAAGTTTTATCTCGAAAACGCTCTAGAAGGCACAATTCTTGATGTATTTTGACGAAACTTTGTTTGTGTATGTCATCACCTAAAGGTGAACCCTAAGAAAATCACAAAAATCGCAAAAATACATGAACAAGACGATATCCCAACAAGAACCTACAGACTTCTTCGAGAAAATTTCTGGATAAATACATTAAATACAATGCAGCCGAACGGTCTTAACGTTTAGATTATCAAATAATTCCTTTTGTTATACTTTTCAGTAGTACAGCTTGCCTAGCCATACCAATCGTCAAAGAACTATAAGGAACTACAACGTCATTCCCCTGATATATTCCAAAAATAATAAGTTATTGCATTTAAACGTAATAAGAATTTGAATGACATTTTAGTCCACGGAAGATTAAAAGCCATAACAACGTATATTTTTTTTATTTTTATTTTAGATTCGAATTAATAAATATTTACAGATGCTCCTTCCCATTTAATCGTTTTATATTTCTCCTTATATTTTTGATTTATAGGATGTTGGTTACCGAAATAAAAAACTACGATCTCCAGTAACCCTTTCATACTTCTTGATTTTATCTGATATTCTAAGGTTTTTATTGATCATTAATATTACTTTATTCTGTCGTTCATTGAACTGAATTTTCACCTCGATCTGTGCTTTTGTAATTCCAATTATATATTGTTGTTACAACCACTCTGACCTAAGATTCAACAATCCATAGATTCAGTTTCTAGGATGAAATCTTTCTGATAAAGAAGGCATCGTTTTCGTGCTTTCTGTAATTTGTACCGCATAGTTTTATTGTTTTTATCTGTCAGTGCCGAATTTATACTATATAATAGCTTAAATGCAAGCGAAACTCGTGTGTCAAAAAGGTTTGGGCGGCATGGTTGTAAACTGAAGAAAAAAATTGTAACACCGGTCTACCATATTTTTGTTACCTAACTATAATAAGCTTATTTTGTTACGAGAAATTTTGCATACCAAATTCCGACATTGTCTTTACTTTATAAAGTCGATGTACGAGAGTTGCTAACAACCCTTGCTGTATGCTTATAATATATTAGTTCGTTAAACACATATTAATTATGAACGGATTTGGAAGTGAGTTCTTGCCCTTTGACTGACAAAAGCATGTCAAAAAGTATATAAATCATAAGTGAGGAAGTAGTTCATAATGAAAAGTGGTATAATGTGTCTAGAATAGTAAGCATACACTGTATCAAAAATAATGTGCGAACTCTGGTTTTTTGTTGACAAGTGTTAAAAAAGGCCTTTTAGTGGCCCTTGAACAATTTGGCGCCCCTTGATTTTCCGGCCCGTCCACAATTGCTCGTAAACACTCTACAAGACACAATTCTTGACGGATTTTGACAAAACTTGGTGTGAGTGTTCGTAATCACCCTAAGATGAACCCTATTGTAAATCAGAAGAATCGAAAAATATTTAGTATGAGGTATTGCCCCTGTTCTTGAGAACGCGCTAAATTTTTATCTCGTAAACACTCTAGATGGCACAACTCTTTGACAGTTTTTTACGTAATTTGGTGTGAGTGTAAACACCCAAGGATGAACTCTATCAAAATAAAAAAAATCGAAAAATGTTTCATAGGAATTCTTGAAAACGCTTTCAAATTTTAGCTCTAAAACACTAAAAGGCATGATTCTTGCCGGATTTTGACAAAACTTGGTTTTATTATTCAGTACCGCACTAAACGTTGAATATTTGCCTTCCAGAGTTTTCACGAGTTGAACACGTTTTCAAGAACAAGGGCAATAACTTATATTTTTCAGTATCGTTCAAAAGAAGTGTATGACTGAAGGTTGAATATTTCATACTGGTGATTGTTACTGTACTGCCAAATATTTTTATTCAAAATCAAAACTGTCAGTGGGCGTATATTACCTTGCCTGGCAAGCTATCTTTTATATAGCTCTTATCCTAAAAACAATTCAATATATTCAGTGTCTAGGCATTGTTTTTGCGCTATTTGTAATTTGTATGCTTATAATATAATATTAGTTCTTTAAACACAAAAAACATATCAAAGAGTCTTGTGAATATGAGTTTGTATTGTACAATTTTTCAAACTTTATCAGGGGAATCCCCATGGACCCTTGATTGAAATGGCACTTCTGCATTTAGATTCTCAACCCAATTAATCAGACTCCCCTCTATATGTACCTCCAATTCCAGGAGGCTGGTGCCGCCAGTATATGAGGGTTTATTTTCAACAATTAAAACATATTCTTCATAAAGAACAGGAAAAAGAACACAAGTGTCTTAGAGTAACAGGATAAACCGGACGCAGTACCTGAAAAGTGAAAACGAAAAATATAATCATGTATAATCATGGAAATTTTTGCAATATTTGTTTTTGACACTTAAAAGGAAACAAGTGGTTTCCTAGCAAGATATGCCCACTTTCCTGATACATTTTCAGTATATGAAGGGTAGTCACCTATCTGTGTCAAATCATACCAAAAATCTAATTTGTGCAAGATATTGTTGATTTAAACAAAGACACATTATTTAATAAAATTCTGACATAAACTGTCCCCTCTATCGGAAACAAATTTTGATGAGTCAGACGGACCGACGGACATGGATGACGACTATATACGTCCACATTATAATGTGGGCGTATAAAAATCAATCGATTGCATATTTTATAAGAAACATATTGATTTGTTTTTAATGTACAAAAAAAAAACAACGAATCGCTTATTTTCAATACAGAGATATTCATGTATCAAAAACTTCAAAAAGACGACAACATGCACCAAAGCCAATGCAGTCACATAACCTAAATGTAAGGAAAAAAATCTCAGAGGTACATTGGAATGTGTAAACCAGGGACTTTTTACTTGATGGTGTGATATTTGCAATGGTATAGTCAGAAATGCACCGCGTTTAGTCCAGCGTTTTGAAGCAATACAATACATAAGTCTTAAAGGCATGATAGTTCACCTTTTTGGGGGATTGATAGCCAAATTCGAACTTGTCCAGGATCATTATGAATATTCAAACCAAATTTCATTTAAAATGGTTGAAAACTGTAGTTTCTATTGTGTTCACAACCAAATTTTGACGCGTTTTTCATAAGTCAAGGGCAATAACTCAAAAACCGTTCATCGAAAGATCGTTAAATTCGAACTTGTCCAAGATCTCATGAATATAAATGATCACACCAAATTTCATTCAAATCAGATAAAAACTATTGTCTCTATTGCGTTTACAAGCCAATTGTGGACGGACGGACGGACAGGGGCGACGACAATATACCACCACATTATAATGGGCGGAGAAAAAGGCATATAGTTACTTCTAACAGCATTTAATGCTTAATTTTGACTTTTAGTTATCCAATGATACATTTTATTATCAGATTGTTATTCCGGTAAAAAAAAACTGGCCATTCAATACCGTGATATGTTTCAGAGCGCTAGCGTAACTTTCACGGAGGTCGTTTGACCAAGAAGACAGAATGATTCATTAACGAGAGAAATTCAGCTTTACGGAAACTGCCGAATGCAACTGAGTAAATCCCGTTTTTGAGGCCAAGGTATGACCTACCTCTAAAAATGGTCCTGCGCTAATTTTCAGCTGTAGGTCTATCGATAACCCTGCACCATAGACCGATCAAAATCTCGTCTCTGCGAATGGTGATTAAGGACTAAAGCATTAAAGCACTAAAACATAAAGCCTACTTACCGGTACATTCTGTAAATATAAATACAAGCAAATGTAAATTGGTGAAAGGATAAGAAATTTATATGCCAAATTTTATTAAAGAAATGCCACGAGTAAAAATACATTGATAGTCTAGTTGGAAGATCGAAATCAATTACTATCATTATTCTGTAAGGTTGTTACACATGAAAGCATTTGTGTTTACTCACGATTGGTTTGTTTTGTCTTCAACAATTCCGACGTAGGTATACAAGCCGATTCCAATGCATTTTTAGCCTGATTGAAATGTTCTAAGGACATTGATTTATTTCTACTCCATATCCAACCACGGGCCTTATTACATGTACCATTCTCAAACTTCTCATCACATCCATAGGTGGCAGAGTAATTATCATAGTCAGTCTTTAACACCCAGAACGGCTTATCACTATCTTCGACTTGAAAAAACGTTAGAAAATACATTGTAACCCCTTATCGACGACGAACTGATTCTCGAAACACTTAATGTGACAATGACGTTAGAACCATATTAATTGAAAGGGTTTTAGGGCATCGGCACCCAATATCAGCTCATATTGAGTAGAAATGGCAATAAGCGTATTTATGGCACATGTCTACTACTCGTGGGTTTTTACACAAAATTTTAAAAAAATGATGTTATCGGCATCAGTTGTATAACTAGATATAAACAGTGTTGCTAAATATTTCTACGGTAGCCTGTATGCATCAATGGATAAACAACGGTATAATGCCTTTCTTTACTTACTTTTTATAAATTTGCTATTTCCGATAATCTCGAAATGTACATCATTGTAGAAGCATTTTCCTTCATACGACCTGGAATTAAATTCAATGCTTATTTCAAACTCATTAACTAATTTATGAAAATGAGGATAATAATATCAATGATTTTCCACAAAAATCTTCCAGACGTAATGATGGATTCTACAAGATGTATCCCAATTAAAAATCTTGAAAGACACTCAAACAATCCTCTGTGCCAAATTTGGTTGTTTTCTGACAATTATCTATTGTTTTCTTATACGCCCACATGAAATAAACATATGAAATGCACAAATGCGTATATTGTCGTCACCCATGTCCGTCCGCCCCTCATATTTTAAGTATGCGTTATTGCCCTTGTTCTTAAAACGCTCGTAAACACTCTAGAAGGCCCAATTCTTGGCGGATTTTGAAACTTGGTGTAAGTGGTTGTTATCAAAGGATAAACCCTATTTAAAATCAAAAAGATCAAAAAATAATTGGTATGAGCTATTGCCCTTGTTCTCGAAAACTCGTTCAATTACAGAGGGAACAAATCTTGACAGATTTAGATGAAACTTGGTATGAGTGTTAGTAATCAACCAAGGATGAACCCCATTGAAAATCAGAATAATCGAAAATAATTAGTATGAATTATTGCCCTTGTTCTTCAAAACGCGTTCAATTTTTAGCTCGTAAACGCTTTAGAACGTTCAATTATTGACAGATTTCGGTGAAACTTGGTGTGAGTGGTTTTTTTTTTTCACCTAAGGATGAACCCTATTGAAAATTGAAAGTTATTGCCCTTGTTCTTGAAACACTCTATAAGGCACAATTCTTGATGGTTTTTGACGAAACTTGATGTGAGTGTATGTAATTGCCCAAAGATAAAAATATTATTGCCTTGATGTTAAAAACGCGTTCAAGTTTTAGTCTCTAAACACTCTAAAAGGCCCAAGATTTTGATGAAACTTGGTAATATTATTCAGTATCGCCTCAAAAAGTTCAAAAGAAGTGTATGTCTGAAGGTTGAATATTTCATACTGGTAGTTGTTACTGTACTGCCAAAGATTTTTATTTAAAATCAAAGCTGCCAGTGGGCGTATATTGCCTTACCTGGCAAGCTATCTTTGAATTTTGAATAAACAATTCACTATTTTCTGTGGGCTTTTTTTTATCTGTACAGTATTTTAAATGTTTAAGACTAAGAGACCAGTTATTTTACCCTGACTGAAGTTGCTATATCAAAAATAAAAAAAAAATAGAAAGTCCAATTTTAATTATGAAAACATGTTAGTCACAGCGATATAACCCATTTCAAATTGTAGTTGTCTGAAGATCGCACAACGTAAAACAAAAGGTCAGTTGTCTCTATTTTCATTACTTCACTTCTATGCTAGGTTTCCTTCAAATCAGTTGAAAGCCATAGCTCTTACCCTACAAGTTAATATTGACTCTGGTTAAATCATGGAAAATGCAATAGATGCTTAATTTTGGTTAATGGTATTTCGTTGACATAGCATGTTCAATCAAAATAGGATAAATATTTTCACTGTTAAAATATTGCTCAATACATATGTATTTTTCTTTTTTTTTATGTTACTCGGAGTTTAACGCTATGCGATCTGACAACTGACCTATTTTCAACCTATCTATTTTGTTAATGCTTTATTCAAAGTCAGTACTTGTTTTACATGCATTGCTGACAGGAGAGAAGCCGGGTTAAAAAAAATCAAATACATGTATTAATATCTCGACAAGGTTGAACACCAGATATGCAGATGAGTTTAAACTACCGATTCACCTCAACTTCAAATAGTTGTAGATAGATGGTTCACCGGCTATATTTTTTGTCACGAATATGAAATATCTTTAAGATTGAAAATTAAATGACAAACCTTCCAGTTATATGTGAAACAAAATGGGTTGAGTTTACTTCTTCATATACATGGTTATAATCAGTGAATGGATCATTGATGTCGAATGGCAGAATCCAATAAATTTCATACCATTTTCCTAAATACTGAAAATAGAAAAGTGTATGCATCTGTTGTACTCCATACTTCTTTACTTAAAACTATTCTAAAATTCCAATTCTCGGGAATCCGCTGTATAATGGTTTAAACAATATTTTATTTCTATATTAAATGAAATTTTTACAGAAAATAAGTTAGATTTCGGAAACAAGCCGAAGCTTATGCTAATCCGGCACCTAATACAATGAAAAGACACAATACAGAAAATATGATATTAGTAAATAAATAAATGGTTATCAATAATTAGTAATTTGATAATAGATAACAATTAATTATGTATATTTTAATATATAAATGAAAACGTGCGAAAGTGCATAGGTGTCCACACCAGACAGGGGTCTTCATCCCCAAGAATTCCGTCCGCCCACGAAGCTGCAAACAAGGATAGTCGGGCTAATCAATTGGAGACAGTGTTAATGTTATGGGTAATTTGACTAGACTAGAAATGGACTTGGCGGAAAAAGACATAAGTTGGTCACAACGGTTGAAATAAATAATTTGAAAATCAAACAGTAATTTTCTATGGATCTGAGGACAAGATTAATATACCAGAGTTATTACTCTACTAGGGTATGGTATACAAGAACAACTGGGGTAAGTATACAAGTTCAAACAACTTGAGAAAGTATATTAGATCAATACTAGGTTAGTATACTAGATCAACAACTAGGGTAAGTAAAATATATTCACAGGTATGGTATATATTTACATCTATGGTATATATGCATATCAATAACTATAAGGGTACATATACAGAATCAGTAACTAGGATAAGAATTTCAAGATCCACCACTGCTGTAAGTATATGAGATCAGCAAATAGGATAGGAATACAACTAAGTATACAGTACCAGTACGAGAGGTAAGTAACAAAGATCAACAACTACAGTATGCAAGCACTGTCCACCTCTAGGGTAAATAGGAGACATCCACAAATATTGTGGGTATATAACGTCAGCAGCTGTGGAAAGTAATGGATGACCACAAATATGGTAAGTTACAAGGACAGCATCTAGGGCAAGAAGCAAGATCAGCAATTAGATTATTTATAGAAGATTAGCATCTAAGGTAAGTATGCAAGGACAGCATCTAGGGCAAGTAAACAAGATCAGCAATTAATGTATGTATACTTCAAGGTTACTAGTAGGTAAGTACTAGTAGGTATACAAGATCAACAGTGGGGTTAGTAAGCAAGATCAGCAACTAACGTATGTGATCAACAAGGTAAGGTATACAAGATCTACCACTAAGGTAGGTAAGAGATATTTACAAATGTGATATATATATATATGTGTGGTTGAGGTTAGATAACAAAGACCAAGATGTTAAAATATCACTTAAGGGGCAAATACGATATGGTTAAATAGCGAATCTATTTGATAGTCTTATAAAATCATGCACTGTTTGGTATATATGTGCATTTTCAACTTCACTGAGGTGATTTGAACCATGCAATAGTTTTTTCATCTAGATGGTGCTGTGGTAGTGTGAGTAATGTATCTCTTCTCTGGGCCTGATATTTCGGAAAAGCAAAAAATGTCCCGAGTCTTCAATGGGATGTCCACATGTACAGGGTGCGAAGTCACCAACGTGTCTTAAGAACTTGTGTAGGTGGAGGTCACTCATTCTATTTCGGAGTCTGCAGTGCACTATTTGGACCGATCTTTCGCGAAGGAAATAATACGATGGTGGAGACGCAATGGATTTTATCTGTAGTTTGAATTCTTTTATACTACATAATGAAGATATGTTTTCGGGTAATGCGTTCCAATCACGGATATCCTCTGTATAATGCAATGCAATTCAATTCTGCTTTTCAAAAAAAAGAAAAAAATGGGAGATTCACAATATGGCGAAAACCCTCTGTCTCAATTGTAAGGTTAATAAAACTTTGACAAAATTATCATCTTACCTTTTTCAGATCAAAATTATCTTGAACTTGAATATCATCTAAAATACACGTTGCATCATTGGCAGTTGTCAACCCAAATTGTAATGCAACTAGAGCTACGGCGAATGCAGACGCCATGATTGCTTGTATTACAAATTATGTTCTTGTATATTCAGAACAGTATATATATAGGCCTTCCCTGAGTTACTGATAATATAGACAGGTGTACCGTTGTCAAATACCAATTTCATTTTGGTATTCAAATTTCATCACTTCTGTCTATTCATAAACAATAAAACAACAGGTACATTTCATTTATGTGCTACGTATTATTAGATTTTTTTTATCAAATCGGCCTATTGTATGTTGTAACATAATTATATTGAATCAACTATCGGATAAATAGCCTGGATATCAAAATAAAAATGTATTTTTTCACACTTGTTCTTGTATGTGTCTTACACTGATGGCGTGGACCATTACATTGCTAATATTTATTATGTATCATTACATTTCTAATATTTATCATGTATCACAAACGGTACTCGTATTTTACACCATATGATGATACATTTATTTTGTCATCCTACTCGAAGTGATATATTGGATGTATGTTAAAAGGAATGCATAGATAAACATTGTGTACCCCTTTAAGCCTTTTCTTAACCACGCATGGTTAGTCAACTTTAAAAAAGGGCAAATAGGTTACGCAAAGCAATATTTCTACAAAAGAATATTGAACTACTTGGTAAAAAGTAGGTTAGGCAAATGAGGGTATGAATTGTGTGTTAACGATGAAGTAAATATAAATTCTTGAACTTGAATGGAATGCACCTTAATAGTAGCACTAACACTTAACACAAATTTTTCCCACTTTTAAGGATAATTGCTACAGCCAAAAGCTTTAGATCAAAAATCAAATTGACTGTATCCGAGAATACATACTGTATATAATCAGTACTTGGGCAAATGATATTTAAACCAATATTTAGGGAGAGGGTCATGGCCATTCAAATAGTTTTAATCCATATCTCATCAGGATGTTCATCTGAGATCTCATTAATATACATAAGCATATCTGGTGTTGTCTGACTATTGTCTCTATCACGTACCCAAGCCAATTCTCTTCTCTCAAGCATTAATTAAAAAACGGCAGTGGCTATTTACAACTGGCGTGGTAGTGGTAAATAAAATGAGTCATGATTTGATATTCCTTTCGGCAAAAATTGTTTAAAACTACCTAAATATTCAAAATAAAAATTGTATGAAATTTAGTGTACATTCATTTTGTTCTTTCGGCAATCAGTCAAAATATACTTTAACCTTGTTAATGAATTGGAAAGCAGGCTTATTACAAGTATATCTATTCAAAATCAATTCAGGACTAATCTTCCCCAAACGATCGTAAGGGTATTTTGTTTGAGAATAATTTTTGAAATAAATTCCTGCATTTTATGCAATTTGTCTTTTAATATTACTACATTTTTTCAAGTAACTACAGGGGCTTATTTAGAGTGCCCTCTAAAAGCCAAAAAGGGGACAAGGTGCCCCTCACCCCCGTCAATGAAATCTTGGCTACGCCACTGAGTAAGTAATGTATATTTCCCAAAAAATTGTAATGTTGGGTCCTATCGGTGTTAGGGTGATTTGAGAATATAAATCCCATAAAAGTGCAGGTCTAGGTAATGAAGTTACAAATTTTAAACGCGTTCACACCTGTACATTTTCGACCTTTTTCATGGTCGCCCCGAGTTCATTCACTCCACAATATTTTGTGACACAATAATCCATAATCCACAAGGTTTGAACAAAATGTTTAAATATGTGTTATATTGTCAAAGTTGATCACTTATGAATTGAAAAAGGTATCATGTGACTTAAAAAATACTGACTTGTTAGTCTTTCATTCAAACTTTTTCCAATTTGTCGTCCAGAAACTTGCTTTCACTAACACATGTTGTTTCTCCAAACGATTCTATATTCCCAAAGTGTCCAGAATTAACATGAACTTCGAAACAAAGAAATAAACTATGTAAATGCCACTAAAGTTCCTTAAAGTTCTCAAGAAAGTGGAAACGTGGCCCACTTTTCAACTCGATTCATGCAGCATTGAACAATTTTATTCCACCCAGGACAAATATTTTTTTGTTAAAGGGACAGTTACGCCAATTTTTTAACCAATCAGAAACGGGATTTTTTTTTTGGCTAAGCCAATCAGTAATAGTATTCACAGCTCATCGTCAAAATTTGAGCCGTCAAACTCACTTGTTTTCAGAATTATCCGTGTTTGAAACTAGTATATAGAAGAGATCAGTAATGATACAGATATTGACTGTAGTATGTAGTAGAGATCAGTAATAATACAGATATTGATAGTGTTTTACTGTAGTATATAGTAGAGGTCAGTAATGATACAGATATTGATAGTGTATGACTGTATTATGTAGTAAAGGTTATTAATAATACAGACATTGATAGTGTTTGACTGTAGTATATAGTAGAGGTCATTAATGATACAGATATCGATACTGTTTGACTGTAGTGTATAGTAGAGGTCAGTAATGATACATCCTTTTTAACTGTAGTATGTAGTAGTGGTCAGTAATGATACATACATTGATAGTCTGACTGTAGTATGTAGTAAAGGTCAGTAAAAACACAGATATTGATAGTATTTGACTGTAGTATGTTGTCTAGGTCAGTAATGATACAGATATTGATAGTGTTTGACTGTAGTATGTAGTAGAGATCAGAAATAATACAGATATTGATAGTGTTTGACTGTTGTATGTAGTAGAGATCAGAAATTATACAGATATTGATAGTGTTTGACTGTAGTTTGTAGTAGAGGTCGGTAATAATACAGATATTGATAGTGTTTGACTGTTGTATGTAGTAGAGATCAGAAATTATACAGATATTGATAGTATTTGATTATAGTATGTAGTCTAGGTCAGTAATGATACAGATATTGATAGTGTTTGACTGTAGTATGTAGTAGAGATCAGAAATTATACAGATATTGATAGTGTTTGACTGTTGTATGTAGTAGAGATCAGAAATTATACAGATATTGATAGTGTTTGACTGAAGTATGTAGTAGAGATCAGAAATTATACAGATATTGATAGTGTTTGATTGTAGTATGCAGTCTAGGTCAGTAATGATACATATATTGATAGTGTTTGACTGTAGTATGTAGTAGAGATCAGAAATTATACAGATATCATCTGAGACACTCATCTCTATTACATACTACAGTCATACGCTATAAATATCTGTCACATTACTGACCTAGACTACATACTACAATCAGGCACTATCAATATATGTATCATTACTGACCTAGACACCCATGACCAGTTCATTATACTCAACCCTTAGCCATACACTTCTTCCAAGCGCTTTTTTTTTTGTTTTGTATACGACTCTTCTCTAAGTGAAACAGAAAAGTAGGACGTTTAACTCCATGAAAATTAATAATTCCGTCCAAATCTGCCACGAACTGTAAGAGTGTGTTAAAGATTGAAATAGAACGCTTTTCAAAAAACAAGGGAAATAACTAATTACATATTTTTCAACACTTTTAATGAGGTTTCTAAATGATTATTATGAAGTTTTATGTAAATTTATCAATAATTGTGCCTTTTACATTTACTAGCTAAAGAATAAGTTATATTGTAATAGGGTTCATCGTTCGGTGATAATAAACAATTTCACCAAGTTTCGTCCAAATCCGCTAAGAATTGTGCCTTATTGAGTATTTACAAGCTACAGACTAATTTTGACACATTTTGAAAGACAATACCTCATAACAATCAAAACATTACAAATCTTATGATTTTTCATTCATAATAATCACTCATATGATAATATACTAATCAAATAAGCAATTAGATGCTCAGTAGGAAGACTTTGTTGTTTTCCTTGCACCAATAGTCCAAATATAGGAACATTGTCGACAAATCCTACGCATATCATCCGCGGCATTGAGTCTATTGTCAAGGTTCGCTTTGGTTCGTCGTGTTGAAGGGCACCAGAAATCCTGAAACTTTATAATTCTTCTCCTACAATAGTTAGTCGCACCTTACACCTCAGGGGTTGAAAAGAAACCCACGCTGGGAACCAGGAATATACAGTATCATAGCTAGGAATTTAAAAATTCAATAAAAGTCTGTCAAATAGCTTTAAAATGTATATATAAACGAATTTCGTATGGTTCACATCATATAGCGATTGTAGAAATGTTTTGGACTGTGAAATTTAGCGTCCAAAATGCCCGTAAACCACAGTCACCGATATTAAATATGGCGGATATTTTCCTTCGCTAGGGATATTAAAATGCTTATTTTAGTGTGCTAACAATGTGAAATATGCACAATATATATATTTTTTTAAACCTAAAAGTGTGATTTTTTGAAATATTAAAAAAAAATTGAATGAAATCCCCTAAATAAAAAAAACGTGGCAAAATTTAAATACCACTTTTTTTCTCCATAGGCTAACATGGTGACATTGGCCTACTTTAACAAGTTACCACGCCGTGGTACATAGCTGTAAGGGTACTTATGACTATTTACCACGCTTACCACGCCAGTGGTAAATAGCCACTGCCTTAAAAAACCTATTTATCAAAATTTATATTAGTTAAACTATAATTCTCATCAATATACATAAGTCTATATTTGTATTTCAATTATGACGTATTTCGACTGCCATTCATCGAAAATGGATCTCCTAAATTACATAATTATAAACCGGACGAACAATCGAACAGAGAGTGACGACACCATACGTCCATATCATAAGTCGGGCGTGTAACAATATGGTAATAATATTTGATTAATTGGTGTTTGTAATTAATTATCATGTATTCTTAATCATAACATTATATAATAAGAGGTTTAACCAATCATAAATGTCCATATATGTACAGTCTGGATGAACAAGACTTTTTGACCTTTCTTGATCGGTCACTCATTGGAATTCTGCTGGTAATTCTCTTCTAATTTAGCTAATTATGATTTAATTATGGACACATGAGATAAACTGGTATTCTCCAAGTCAACACCTTTACTTTCTATTCATATAGGTATTAGCATTTTCATTTTCATAAATAAAAAAAAGGGAACCCATCTTTAACATCAAATACATCTTCACCTCTCTAAGCATTTCTTGGAAGATATTTTTGGACAATAATATAATATACTAAATACTTGGACAAAAACAGCTCTCAAAGCTTATTCATTTTATTTCTAATTTTGTGAAGCTGACAGGCAGTTTATCTTTAGGATAAGGCGATGGTAACAAATCTATATCAGGATTTTTATTGTGTAATTTCCAATTACACCTTCTCGCCATTTCTACTAAGAAGATTTTGACTGTTAATTTAGCGAATTGTTCACCAGGACATGATCGAGCTCCAAGACCAAATGGTATATAATGAAATCGAAGGTCGGCACTTTTAAGTCTTTCACCATTCCAACGTTCAGGATTAAACTTATGTGGATTCTCAAACATCGGTGAAATATTATGAGTCTCACGGATACTATAGATCACTGTCCAATCCTTTGGTATTTGATAGCCCTACAATCAAAGGTTTCATAAACAATGATTAAATATGGCAGTCCAATGACAGACAATATTAATACATGTATATATATTTTTTCCATTATTGATTTTAGACTAAATAGACTGTATAACTTATATTATGACCAACCTAGTTCTGAAAATTGTGATGTTTCAGATGGTAATTGTTTATTCTGTGCTCAAAATTTAGCTTTTTCAGTTTCATTTACATTATAGCTTTCAAACCATTCTGAAGCATCCAAAAGATATTTGGAAATTTGTGAACCTACCCCTACTTCAAATGTCTTCAGTGCCTTTCGAAATGCTCCACCTACAGGAGGCTTCACTAGTAAAATCTCTTTGAAGACATTATCTATATATGGTAATTTGTTGATCTGTTCAAACGTTAAATTAGCCGTTGGATCCAATATTTCATTTTCTAAGAGTTCTTCTCGAATTTTCTCCAAAACTTCTGGACTTTGTCCAAGATGTAACAGTAGTGAACAACACACACTGGCTGTAGTATGATGACCAGCAAACATAAGTTCGAGTAGCAAATCAACCATATCATCATCAGTTAAAGAATCAGCATCCCTTAAATTCCTCAGAACATCAAGAACACAATTTACATCAGAAGAACTGTTATTATTGGATTGTGCTATTAATTCTTTGATAGCAACAATGATCTTGTCTTTAGCATGCACCGCCTGAAATATGTAACAAAAATTATTCGATTGTCGTCCAAAAGCTCAAAGATAAAAAAAAACGACTACAAGGAGCTGAGCAATACTTTCTCATACTACAGTAATTGAGCAAAGATAAGTGGGGTTCTCTTTTTAAAAGATGCTCTAGTCTAGCAAACATCAAGAAACTTCAAACACAAAATTTTCTATCTTTTTTAAAGACGCTTTATATCACGTCAAGGTTCTTTACAAAGATATTCAAATAGTTTAAATTCATTGCAATCTATACCTAACAGATAAAGAAACGTCGCATTTTTGAATTATTAGGACATAATCGTGCATGAACAAAATTGTTATTTTGCCTTGTAAATATGATTTTATGTCTTTAAAAAGGCCACTTTATGATATTCAACTGATAATATCGGTTGCGTTAGGCGTAAGAGTTGTGAACCTTGGGACCTATGAGACACCTGTTGCATGTGATTCAAAGGTTCTGTATAAAATCACCTGACACCTACAGTGGCTTCGGTCGTCTAAGCTTCCAAAAACGTGAACAAGTGATCGGACGACCAAATGCCGGGTGTGTATTGCCAATGCTTTTAACCATTGAAAGACTTCGGATTCGTTACAGCACCACCTATACAGCACTAATGGCAGTCCACACATTCCACGATATAACACGTGTGGGATGGCATCTAAAGATGCCTAAACCAGATCTGGCAGCGTCAAAGAAATTCAGCAAAACTAATTGCAGCTTCCCGTTGGGCACAGATTCCAATGGCGTGGATAAATCGCTTGTGTACAGTAGATGCCTGGTCGTTATTAACGCACAAGATAGACACACCATCTGAGAAGATCACGTGATCAGAGCATCCACACTGAATTGCAATAACACAGAAGACACTCGGATAATCCTTTAGGGCCAAAGGTGGTTGTTGTTTGACAATTATCTTTTGTATTATTGATATTTGAATAAATAGTTTAATTGACAAAAAAAATCAATTGGAATTGGACACAAGTTACGAAAACTTAGTTAAGCCCTCTCCAAAAAAGAATTACATACATTTATAGATTTATAAATTCACTCTTTCTGAAGTTTGCGACGTTTCAGTATACATGCAGTCTTACCTGTTTAAAAGCCAATCCAGGGCATTTAATTGGAATACTAAACGCGTTATCTATCATGGTTTCAAAATAGGGTAAAATCTGTATAGATTGTGTATCATTAATGTCAACACCAACAATGACTTCATTTGTTAACCTGTATGTCATCTGTCGGCATATAAAGGACCCCTGTAATAAAATAGTGAAATTCTATAGCTTACTATCCAGAATTGAATATCTCAAAGGGGATCGGACTTAACTCACAAAAAAATTTATATTAGATGTCTGGCCCTACCTTTGACGAAATATATCATGACTTATAACTGGATAAGGTCCATATTTGTTGGGCAATTAAGCAGTAGATCTAACTTGAAACATCAAACGTACAAAAACTTGGTCTTGGTTACACCAATTTTCAATACATTCACGTATAACTTTTTGAAATTCTGGTACCATATATGACAAATTCTCAGGTCCAAGGACTTTACTTATGGTCACCTTTCGCGTTCTGAAAGAGTGTAAAATATTGCAACTTAATATATTATTTAAAGTATGACAAAGTGTGTCGATATCCCCTTTTTGCGATGGCCGTATCTAGTGCTGGTGGTCCTTGTCCGTAAAAGAGCAGTCTTCTAATATTTATACTCTCGACTGTATACGTCAATCGACAGGAATGTTAATCTGTTAATCTTTTAATATTGGTACTTAAAAAAAATAACCATTGAACTAGTACTCTTTTGAATAACTTTGAATATGAATGACCATTATATAATAGCCACGAGTTCTAATTCATGGGCTATTAATTTCTATACCAATTTCATGATCCAAAGCGCCGTAGGCAATGACATATTAACCTACAAAATCTGAATACGGGAGGATCTCAGTTTTGTTACAAAAGAGAGATAGTTTTAGTGGAATTGCAAGAACCACAGACGTCTGATTGGAAATTGGAATGGTGCAAATTGATGCTTTATTGTGTCCAAGATAAGTGAACATCCCTTTATGCAAAATAGAATATTCTTGTTTCGTCAGTGAATTTGCTAATATTAATGTACACGCGGCTAGTCATTTTTGGAACATTAACCTTGTTACAATAAAGCCGTCCAAATAAGGATTGTTTATCCGAAACACGAGTTGGTATCAAGAGATAAGCTCTGGTCAATTAGACACGAGTGGAGAGAATTTGTCACAAATTTGATCCTGCTCTTTTACATAATTCATTAACCTATAGTCCAGTTTTGGAAAGTTAGCCGTGTTACTGATAATTGTTTATCGACAGCATAGAATATATGACCGCAAATAAATCGGTATTAATGCCAATTTCATGAGCATATGCCTTATTACAAACCTGTGATCATCGCCGGTCTGGGCTGATAAAGATCGATCTCTAACAAACAGTTTTCTCAATGTTGTTGGCCATGAAGTTTGAACCAAGACGTTTTCCCCGATAAGTATTTTCTTTACATTTTCTGCTGCCATTACTCTGATACTTGGTTTACCCATGATATGAGTTTTATAAATTTTACCATATTTTACCATCTTTTCAGTGTAGAACTTGCAGCCCTATAATAATAGTGCAATAGTCATGTCAGTGATTGAAACTTAGATAAAGATTTCTTCTGTAACATCAAGTATAACTCTCGTGTCCCCTTGGAACATTTTTATACGTACACGCGGTCCGACGTGGAAATGTGGATGAATGTATATTGCCATGGTTCTGTTCGTCCGTCCGTGGCCCGATGCATCTAAGCACGATAAAGGCTTCAGTTTTTAAATGATTTTGATGAAACTTGGTATGCACATATATTGATGTCGAGTTTGAAATTGGAAATAATCGGATGAACGTTTAAGAGTCATATTGCCCTTGATTTAGTAAAAACGTGTCAAATTTGGCTTGTAGTCATGATACAGGATGCAGTTTTAGAGTTATTGCCCTTGCGTGAACGTCCGGGAGGGTTGGGGCTAAATAGATACTCCACTGGTCAAAGTACTACTATTACGTCTGATTGGATTGCACGCCAGTGAATACGATACAGCCAATCAGAGCCCCCGATTTCATGCGTAATTGTTTTAAAAGTCTTTCTGTCGAGGGCTCAGAATCGTTGCAGCCTACGCATTGGCTAGCGAACAATGAAATCGAATTAGTTGCATTCACAAACATTTCCGTGAAACAAGAAAGTGGGCTATTGCAGTCAAGGTACAAGAAGAAGGCGTATATATACTTTGACTATTGTGAAGATATGGAATGCATGATGATGGCATAAACTTCCACACCTTCCTGAGCTTAGTCTACAATAGTTGCAGCAACCATTCAACATTCACGAACCTTAGATATAGGCGACGATGTGCATAAATATATTTTGGATCTTTTTTGCAAAACCGGAAGTGCCACAGTTCAATATGTGCAAGAATAGATAATCGGCTCTAGAAGTCGTATTTTTCGGTCGATTTTCTTTGGGTTTGCATTTTTGGAATCTACTGGCAAAATCTGAAAGAATAGCAGTTTAAAAATTTCAAAATTCGAAAATTTGTCGCAGACATTCTTTTTGCCAAATTTTGCATTTTTTTCATTTTTTTTTTGCTTTTTGTCTGATTAATCTGAAAAAAATTGAGCAAAGACAGTTTAAGAAAGTAAACAAAATGGTACAGTAAAAATTTCAATTTCACTTCCGGTTTAAACAGGAAATCGATGTTCACTTCCGGTTGAATATCTTCCGGTGTAATTTGTATAGGACAAAAAAATTTATGCTGATAGATAGACAAAGTTATGACAAAAAAACGAAGAAAAAAAAATCCGGAACAGACGTGAAACTTTGGCCGCCATTTTGATTTCCCTGAAACTCTTCGATTTTTATTCAGCCAATTTGGCTGAACCGAATTTCAAAATTTTGGTGTCAAATGAAAGAACATAAAAATTAAGAGAGATCGCAGGAAGCCGATTTTTGAATTTCGATTTTGCTTTTTTGCAATGTGCGATTGAATTTTTTCAATATTGATGGCGTATATCTCGTGACCTTGACCTTTGATGACCTTGACCTTTATAGGGTCAAAGGTCATTTACCTTGGCTATCATTTGATACTTTGACCTTTGACCCCCGACATGTACTTCCGGTTTTATAGCTATCCGTAAAAAGCCAAATTCGCAACTTTGGACTGCTCTAGCACGTGACCTAATTAACCTAGAGGGTTAATTTTTTCGGTTTCCTAATGTGCTTCTCATGCACTTTACATAGATATAGAACAATTGCTTTTTTAAAGCAAGATTGAAATTGGTGATTTTTTCAAATTTGAGTTTTGTTTTACCATATTTGTGTCTTTTTGATCTTGGTGTATGTATATCTTATGACCTTTTTTATGGAGAACCTTGATATTTGGAATACAATTAGACACTTTGAATATGAATTCACCTATGACAAAAAAATTGTGGTGGGCGTGGCACATCCGGGTTGAATTACTAATTGTTTACATTTTGGGGCTGGGGCATAACTCGCATAGGATGCGTTTGTTCAAAAAGAGACTTTGCACACAATTACCTCATCCTTTTTGCCAGTTTGTGTTAATAGCTCAGATGTTTCAGCTGTATAGTTTCAAAAAAGGAACGGGTTTTAACATTTGGATATTTTCATTTTTCGATTTTGACCTTTGTTGACTTTTGTTGACCTATATCTTTTGACCTCTATTATGTAGGAACTTGGCATTTGAAACACAACGTAGCATTTTGAATATTAATTAACCTCTCAAAAAAAAATTGAGGTGGGCGTGGCACTTCCGGGTTAAATTACTCATTATTGACATTTTTGGCCAGGGGCATAACTCGCAAAGTATACATTTGTTCAAAATGGAACTTTGCACACAATTACATCATATTTTGAGCCACTTTGTCTTAGAAGTTCGGTTGTTTCCGCTTCTTAGTTCAAAAAAAGGAACCGGTTTTGGAAATTGAAAATTTTCAATTTTTTGACCTTGACCTTTATTGACCTTGACCTTTGTAGGATCAAACGTCATTGGCATTGGCTATCTATTTGTACTTTCATATTTGCTGTCCTATGTCAACTTCCGGTTTTATAGTCGTGTGCAATTAGAAATTTTGATGACGTATATCTCTTGATCTTGACCTTTTTAGACTTTCTCTTTTACAAGATTAAATGTCATTGACCTTGGCTATCTGCTGATACTTTCATTTGTGAGGTCTGACGTCTACTTCCGGTATTAGAATCTTTTAAAAAATGAAAATTTCTCCACTTTAGACTGTTCTTGCGCATGATCTAATTATCGTGGAAGGATGATTTTTTCGGGGTCTTTTGCAATTTGCTACATTTGCAAAGTCCCACTCTGTGCCACGAGTGGCTCTAGTATATAATTGTTTTAATTCTGAAAAGTGATACATAAAGTCGACACAAAATAAATATTTAGCGACTATGGCTATCAAAGGTATTTGTATGGATTTTCATATCGACCTCGCTTGTTATTGTCAGGATTTGGATGGAGGTGTCGGTTTTTTCCATTATTGTGCTGTTTGCATTAAACTTACCTTTATTACAAAATGTACAGTTTCACCAAGGAGAGGCCAACCCATATTACCAGGTGGTAACGGCTTATCACTAGTAGGATCAGCTTGTCTGTCATAATATATGCCCCATAAATACTTCAGGGATAGTGCAAACATGTACATCACCAATAGTATTACAACCAGTTTTATTAGATAAACTGTACATACTGTGCCAAATATACTGAAATGCAATAAAAACCTTAGTAATTTTCTGGTCCGTGGTAGACCCGATCCCATTGAATCCAATAATACTTGACCCCCCTCTCTATTTTCTAGCTCATTAAGTATAATATATTCTAATCCTTATATATAGATGTTTATCTTTTCAGAACCTATTCATACTCTTTTCTTTTAGAACTGGTAACAAGAAAACTTTCATATTATAGACTTGTGTTTATTGTAGATTACTCGTGGTTGTTTTTTTAACTTAATACTAACTATGCTAACTTCACCTTATCTTGTATTGAACATTTATCTCTTTATTCGTGACCTTGACCAGTGCTTTACATAGAAGTTTTTAGGAACTTCTTCACTCTTAACACAAAACACAATAGTTAATGGTTAAAGGAAAATTGACTGAAATGGATGAATGCAGGTTGCAAATAGTAAATAGTCTTCAAAAGTATTAGAAATCGCACAATTTCTTCAAAAATATTTCTTTAATTCTTTTCTATATTGTGGCAGTGTCTCAAAAAAAAGATAACTTTCAAACACAGATATTTCTGGACACACATGGATTTGAAGACACAAATTTCGACTTCATTGGCACTCAACTTTCGTATTCCGCTGTTTTAAATTTAGAATGAGAAAGAACAAAGGAACTATATACAGTTGTATTTTTATTCAGATTGAGTCATTGAATTAGCCAATTAAGAGGTGCAGACCATAAAACCTGTGTGAAGTCAAGAATATGGATCTAGAGGATAGTCTTCAAATAGGTTTCATATAGTAGTACAATCCACATCGCTTCCAGATGAATTCCCATATAAACTCAGGGAAATAGCTGGTGTAATAATAAGTGTAAATGGTTCAAGGCAACGACGACCTGAATTCAGTGACCTATATAAAGTTGGCCTTATATTGAACCCGTGTTTTGTTTAATATGTAAAGTCACATATACATATACGCTTCTGTACGTTTACAAGGCAAGATAATATTCGCCCACTGTAGCTTTATTTTCGGATAGAAATATTTGGCAGTACAATAACAATTACCAGTAGGTCTATTCAACTTTCATTCACTTATTTTGAAATTGTTGGGGTGATACTGTATAACGTTACTCAGGTAAATAATCTGACAAGAATCATGCATTTTAGTGTTAATGAGCTAAATATTGAACGCGTTTTCAAGAACAAGAGCAATAACTCATACTAAATACTTTTTGATTTTTCGGATTATCAATAGGGTTCATCCTTGAGTGATAATGAACACCACACCAAGTTTCGTCAAAATCCACGAAGAATTCTGATTTCTGAATTGTTTATGAGCTAAAAATTGAACGCGTTTTCAAGAACAAGTGCAATAACTCACACTTAATATTTTTTTATTTTTCTGATTTTCAATAGGGTTCATCATTGGGTGATTACAAACACTCCAAACAAGTTTCGTCAAAATCTGTAAAGAAATTGTGCCTTCTGAAGCGTCTGCGATCTGAAAATTGCGGACAATAACTCATACTAAATACATTTCGATTTTTCTGATTTCCAATAGTGTTCATTCTTGGGTGATTACAAACACTCATACCAAGTTTCGTCAAAATCAGTCTGGAATTGTGCCTTCTTTAGTGTTTACGAGCAATTGTGGACGGACATGGGTGACGACAATAGGCCCATTCGTCCCCCATTTCATGTGGGTGTATATAATAAAAGTACGCGTGCCACTGGTATTTTTTAAATATATATTAATATCGGTCAGGTCGTGCTAGGGTGATACTGACCTAGTTATCTAAGGTCATGAGGTCAAGTTGGCTTATCTAGAGGGAAAGTAGTTAAAGGGTCATTCTGAAGTTGTCTAAAAAGTTAGTAGTCCGACAAATCTACCATCAGTTTCTTGGACGTGATCTATAACGACACGTTTATCCCAATCGTATATCACATCCGCGTAACGGGTAAGGCCAGTTAAGTCCGGTTAGCAAGTAAGATTTTCTATATAACGAAAAGACCAAAATCAGAGAACACTGTCTCCATTTACTCAGAATATCTAACTGTTCATGACAAAACTATTTAAATGGTTTGCGCATACTTTTTAATATCGCTCTGTTTTGATTGGTGATAGGCCTATAAATAACCTTTTATAAATGTACGCATACCATAAGGAGAGATCCCTGAAACTTATGTCATGATGACAAACATAAATGTAGAATGACATTGGTAAGAACAAGGCCCTTGCGATGTCCACCCATCTCATTGTCAAGCTACTCGTATCTGGGCATAATATATGCCAACCTTGATTATGGCCACCTTACTTTGATTGATTGATTGGATTGTACGCTAGCGAATACAGCCAACAAGAGCCCTTGTGTCACTATTGCAGTCAAGGTGTTAGACGCAGTTCGTAATAGCTTGACACAGTGAAAATGATACCAACCATGTACAGCAGTATTCAAGATCTTTAAAGATCTTAGTAGAAAATAAATCAAATAAAATGCTTTGAACTCCAACATGACATCTCAATAATTTGTCATCTGATTCTTGGTCAATAGGCTAAAGCATAGAAATTATAGCCGAACTTTGTAAAGAAACCCCATTTTGTTATCTAAGGGAAATAATTCTTAAGAAGATTATACGATTTGTTTTCATTCAAACACGTCGATCAACGCCAGTATTTTATAACGCCTATATTTTGTAAGTGTGGATATATAAAGTAGAATGATAACAATGGTGGTAACAAGATAAGAGAGAACTGTATGCTTACCGAAAGGCTAAGTGGAGATATAGCTCGTAAACAATTCAGAAAGCAGAATTCTTCATGGATTTTGACGAAACTGGGTGTGAGTGTTCATTATCACTCAAGGATGAACCATAGAAGGCCCAATTCTTGACAGATTTTGACGAAACTATATTATACAGTATCGCTCCAAAAACTTCAAAACAAGTGTAAGTCTGAAGGTTGAATTTTTCATACTGTCAATTGTTACTGTACTGCCACTTTTAAAAATTCAAAACATTTTTTATTAAATCTCCTCCTATGCAAGAAGCAAATCAATAGACCATTTAACAAACTATTTTAAAAATATTATCGATTTGTTATACAGTGTCCCTACTGATCTTTTTCAGTCTAAATAAATTTCTAATAAATTCATGACTTTTTTTTATTTTCAAAACGTTTTGAAAATTTAGAATTTACCTTTGATATATAATAAAATAATGATCTAAGTGGATGTGGCGCTGTTTGTATATATACGTTACAATATATTTTGTACATAATAAAAAGTTTGTATTTGGAGAGGGAATATATAGGCAAAAGCCTGTTCCCCAATCCTTTTCATATAATATAATTGTGAATGAAATATTGTTTAAAAAAATGTTTCCTTCTTCAGCCATATGCAGTGTTCAAGTGCGGTGTTCTGATATAATGTCTCACTTTTATCATAATAATCATATAGTACCTTATAGACTTATATTTGTGATAAATATCTTACCTTTCTATATATTGAACTAAGATACCAATATTCTTGTACCATTCAAACATATTTATTCAAATAAGGTAGGCAGATTTATTCCACAAGAAAAACCTCAAAATTGTATTCAGTTCGCGAGAATACTAGATGTTCCACTTGTTCCTGTTTCTCAAATAATTGATCGTAGTTATTCAATTCTTGTGCAACATGATCCAATGAAAAGCCGGCAGTTCAGGTCATGACCCAGTCTGACCTAAATATACTTACCTATATATATTTTATATTTATTTCTAAAATTTTAAATGATAAGGGCACATTAATATTTATAGCTTACAGCATCATTCATGATCCAGTAAAAAGTAAACCTCTATAGTGACGCCGGGTTGACAAATCCAGTCGCAGAGTGACATCAGGTTTTCAAGTTGCATGGAAGATGCCTTGTCTCTCTTTATTGTGTGGGATTACAGGGGCCTACTCTTGAAAAGATATGTAATTGTAATTAAGTTCGTCATTTACCTGCTGAAAGAACGTTAATCCAACTGTCCATGACATTTTAGACTATGGAAAATATATATAGGCCTACAAAATATAGCTGTTTCGTTGATACAAGTTCATCTCATGTCTACCAACCTGATATATTCGAATGTTAAAGTGATTGTAAAGATTGTAAACAAATTGTGTATCGGAGACATTGTAAGCATCGTTTTGGACCATTTCCATTTGCAATCAAACTCTGTGGTTCCTGCAATTCCGCAAAACTAAGCGTTAAATAGTGTCACTAACACTATTATCAAAAGAAGCTTTTGTGATGAAATCATAAAACGCTTAGTTTTGAGCCACAGACGTTTGATTGAAAATTTGAATTGCAGCATATCCTAAGCACAACATATTACCAGTTTAAGCACATCAATGAAATGAGTGTCCCCGATACACATAAAGAATTTGGAAAACATCTTTACAACCCCTATAGATCTCACAAGGTTAAAAATAATAAAACTCTTTAAATTTGGCATATATAAATGTTATCCTGGATTATAATTAAAATAACTATAGCCGGTGTAATTTCTTGCAGGCTAGCAGCTACAGAGGAGCAATCCCCCGAAAGGCGTTAAAAACATATCCCTATCAAAACTACATGACTCAAACTAATAATATGTCTGAACTGCATCGTGTGGTGTTCAGGAAACTGTTATTATATCCAGCGTCATCTCAAACAGTTGCGTTATCAGGCCACTACGCATAGTCTTTTAGTAGTTGTGTCAAAGATACGCAGTGGTGTACAGCGGCTTCCGCTCCCCCCACTCACATGTTTTGCGGCTTAGTTGCTGCATTTTGAATCAGTGAATCATATTTAAACAGTGGTGTTACTACTACATTTTTGTGTTATTTTCCATAGTGAAAGAATGACCCCTCACCTGATGTTTAATAGGAACTTCACTGAATCTAAATGATGTAAAATTATATAATCTAATATACATTAAGCCTATATATCTAGAATTTCTATATATTCCATAACATTTTTCAGGGTGGCTATATAAAAAAAAAGCTAATTAAAAAACAAAGTTTGGTCAATTTCACTTTAACTGGTCCTACATTAAAGGTATTCTAATTTTTCATCCTCATAGCCGACACTGATGGCTGCCATTCAAAAATTGGTATCATTGAACTAGCATGCACACATGTTGAAATAGGTAAGTTGCCTTGATATTGTATGTTTAACATGCTATTTTGTTCGGGGAAGTACTTGTACAATCATTATTTGATGACTTCATATTTTTCAGGGTTGCACAACGACATCTTGGAAGTATATCTATGAGAATTTTGAAAGATATCAGTTTACCAACAGCTGATATACTACCCAAACTTTGGGACACCCGATATATACATGTATGTTTCAATGCTTGTGGGTCCTATATTCAGAAAACCTAATACAGATATGTCACAGATAGCATTCAAGGCAATTCCAGGAACCAAAGACGAAAGTGTCCAAGACAACCATACAACGACAGGAAAACTATTTTGAGACAGGTTTGTATCAATTTTTATTGGTTTAATCATACAAATATATACAGGCATGTTGAAAGTAATATGAACAAACAGTTCAATACCTTTATCAATACTTGTAATGCAAAATTTATCATAGTATGAAATTACCATGTAGTAAGCCCATATGGATATCAAAACAGTAAAGTTTTCATTAAATATTTGACTGTTACCAAAAATTAATATCTGATCGACACATCAGCATATCACAATAGGTTTGCTCTTGGTTTGTACTGTGGAAATGTGCATTACAGTTTAGAACTCATGATATAATATTTTTCACCAGATATTACTTCACTATAATAACAGTCTGTTACAAAGCAAAGAAAAACGACCAAACCCAAGACGCAGTCATCCGTTGCAGTCATCCGTTGCATCACCGTTCTATTCAGAGAGAGAATCAGCCTACACAGACATATTTGCAACATTTTTAAACTAATAACTAACCAATTGAATGTAGACCATATTTAACTTATGTTACTTAATAAATGTATACATGTTAATATATTCACAGCTGATAGAACTTAATTTTTCCATTCTTTGTTGTTCCAAAACAACTTACATCTGATTTTATAAGTAGGTAAAAGTAGTTCTAACAGCAGTAAAAGCAAATATCGAGATGTTTGCATCCTACTGATTATGAAGGTTTTTCCTATCTTAATCAATATATTACACGTCACAAATGACTTATACTAACCAATTTAAAAGTTAGATCATCGCTTCTCAGACCAAATGTATGGCCTGACCCTGAAAAAGAAAACAGAATACATATTATTATAAGTTAAAACACAAAATGCCTAAAAGAATTTAAATCTTACATACTTTTGAATTGCTTTAAGAGGGATATTCAATACTTTATCCCTTGCCAAATTATTGATTTGACAATATTTTGTAGAGAAATATGTCCAAGATATTTTTTCAAGGCCAAAGGAAAATGTTTTGAAAAAGATACAGACATTTGATACTGTATACTTCACCGTATTTATTATTGTAACTTTCAAAATTTTTTTGGAATGTTGAAGCTGTAAAGGAAACAAAATTGTTTAGTACAAGATACAAACTGATAAAAAAAAAAAAAACATAAGTTACAAACAAGACAATATATATACAAATAACGTCTCAATCGATAAGTCAATCCACATTCCAAAATTTTCTGTTTATAGCACTATTTATTCACACAGAGCAGAATTTTCTGCTATAAGTGAGTAATTATTTATTTGGCCTGGATAACTGAACATAAGAATGATCAGTTGAGACAAATTTGGAACATGATTTAAGATTACATTGAGCACAAAATTCTAACGACACTTCTTGACCAGAAACATGTAAACAAATTCCACCAGATGGTTCTATGTTCTGATGTTCACTAGAACTGTTATGAACAGATAAAGAGTTATCTTCTCCTTCACAGTTTTCCATGGCATGGTTACTGCTTACTGAACGAGTGAATCTTCTACTTTTACATGGCAAGTCTATTAAATCTGATTCACTTTCATTTGAACTTTTCCGTTTCAAAACACCTTTCAGAACAACATCTTTGGAATTATTATTCTTATCTCCAGTATTTATGATGGTTTTCATCCTGTCTTCATTGGAGACCAATAAATTTTCATCAATGGGGTATTTAAATTTAACACCAGGTGTTTTCTTAATATTTTGAATCAATGATGATAGTGTTGATTGGTTAGCTAACACATTGCTTAAATATTTCACCTCTGTTTTTAGTTTGCTGATTTCACCATCCTTCAACAACTCAGCAGTCTTTAAGCTTTTATTTTCCACAGATAGTTTTTTGACAGTTTTTTCCAAATGAGCAAGATATTGTTTTTTCTTCAGTCTATTTTCCCTGGCTGCAATGGCATTCTTGGACATAGAAGGATCATATCGACCAGTGATATTTTGTATTTGCTCAACTGAGTGTATTTGTTGTTGCTGTCGATTTAAAAGTTCAAGGTCGCTTACCACTCGACCATCTTTGTTTCTATTTAAAGTTCCATTATTTTGGCTCAAATACTCGCTCAATTCCAATGACTCGTCATCCAGAAACCTGTCCGCGAAACTAACATCATCTTTATAATACTCATCATTGTCAGATATAAAATCTTTCAGAAATTCTATGTCATCTATCGGAGACGAACGCTCAGAGGAATCTAAAGCTACTTTGATCAGGTTTACAGGGGGTGAAATAATGGCGGCGGTGTCCATATCCACCAAAATTGTCTCAATATTTTCTACATCAATAGCCTCATCCATACTTACAATGGATTAAATAAATGAGAGTTCAAAAATCGAGTGATTGTTCTAGGAGCTGAATATAACCTACCAATTAAATCACAAATGAATTCACTCAATGTGGTGCGCTACACGCACCTTGTACAAAACGTATGAATAGCGTTCAAGTCACGTGACTGCGTTAATCGCGTTAAAGGTGAAGGGTTTCAATATTGGGACAAATCGACACATTTGTCCAAAATCACCCATTTCTATGTGGTTTTCGTTATTAAAATTGTAGATAGTAGGCCTACGTCAAAATATTCTATAAACGGTTTTAAAGCCGTAACTTAACTAATTGTTTGAGATTGTCAAGTGCCAGTCGCAATTGTTTTCAAGGGCCCAAAGGGCCCATTTTCATTAAATTATCCAAGCCCAAGGAACATGTAAGAAAGAGATTAGAAAGGGAGTCAGCATAAAACATTTGTGGCCATTTCTATTACGGGCCAAGTTGTCTTTTTCGAAGACGAAAGGCGCTCAGACTATACAAAGGATATGGATATAGTATGCATATTTAAAAAATAATCCTCGCCCGCTAATTCTTATCCTTCACTGAAACAGAGAGTAAGTTTTGAACACCATGTTATGTTATAAGAACTGTTTACAACTCTCTGGTTTGGATCACCACAATTGTCAAACTTTTCGGGCTTAGTCCTGGTCGATTTGGCCATCAAACTACAGATAAAAAAAACACTATCTGAGTATCTAGCTAGAGTTGTACCAATTAGTATACAGTTGTACGGTTATAGAGTTATAGCCTATATAATTTATATATCATTATAATATTATATATTATTTATAACTCTATTACCATATAACTCTATGAGTGATTGTACCCCTTATAGTTGGAATCACAACCAGAATCAAACATTTCGGACTTAATCCTGGTCGATTTAGCAATCAAACTACAGACCAAAATAAAACCACTAGCTAGAGTTGTACCCCTTTGAAAGTACCGGTATGGCGGAAGTTTCGAAGAAAAGTTTTAAAACCAAAAAGAAAACTCCTGACAATTTGACATGTGAATTAGTGTTTGATGGTGGATTATTGTCAAATACTCGTGCTTCACTTGTCATTGAATTGATTAAATATTTTATGTTTGAGAGACATCAAATTCCTCAACCGTTTGAACATGTAAAACGAGACATGAAAATGAAAGAGGAAAAGATTGCAGCTGGGCCTCGCACTCAGCCTACTGATCTGCAACCAAGTGAACTCGACACTAATACATCCAAAGGAAATGGAAGAAAGAGAGTAAGCATAAAACTAGAAAAATAAGTTTGATTAATTCATTGATTTATTGATATTTTTCATTGCAAACTAAAGTAATTCCTTCGTCTTCTGCTGAGTTTAGTCTGTAAGCTTAAAGCACAAAACTGTCACACTTCCCATTTTATTATCATAAAAGATTCTAACAAAATGTAATTTTCTTCCAGGTTGTAAATGGCGGAAAGAGTGTCAGAACTTTGAGAAATATGATAACAGAGAGGAAAATCAAATCAATCATTGAAAACCTTGAAATGTTATTTGATAACTTGGAGAAAAGTTTTGTTTTGTGTCCAGAAATAAGCCAGATTGTGATTATTTTAGGTGGAACCATTGTTAGCCCTAAAGAAACATTTGTGATAAAGCTACCTCAATTAAGTCCTGATGCAGATAATTTAGTGTTTAAAACTTGCGTGAAAGCAATGTTTCGTCAAATAATAACTCAAGATTTATTATGTGATATGAAAGCCTTAACACCCACAAACATGTCTGTTCTTTTACATGCTCCAAGAGAATGTAACATGGAATGGTTTATTCCTAATCACACTTTTAAATTTCCCGTACGAGGAAGATTTTTTACTTATAATTGTACATGTAAACAACCAGTTGTGATGAATCATGATTTAACCCATGAGGGCAATCCCTTAGAAATATCTGGAATAGATTTTTTAGACTCAATAGATATTGATATGGCAGAAGTAATGTTAGAAGATATGTCTTTATCAGAGTTATTATCACAAAGAGTTTCATTAGGTCACTCCAGACGTTCTCTTCCAAATACTGCAGAAAAAATGGATAGTGAACTAGGAGAATCTAAACTTATTGATGAGGATGATCGTATTTGGTTTCAGTCACCAGTTAATGTGAAGGGTTTTAGAGATCCACTTAATATTCAAAACATGTCATTAATGTTTTGTATTAACATATGTATTTAGCTATTACAACAATTGGTTATAATTTGATTGTGAATCACTTAACTATTACTTATACATCATTCAAAAACAACATATTTCTGTGATAAATGATTTTAATTTAGCACCATTTGTTGTTTTTGATTTTTTAGAGGTTTGTTTATTTCAAAATTAGGAAATGCTATGTCATCTGTTCTAAAAAAGCTTAAAGCATAAACTTATACACACTTATAAGATATTTGAAGTCCAAGAAAATTACTTTAAGGACCATTCGAATAAATTGTTACTTCCCAATACAGATTCTTACATATTGCCAGTGGAATCTTATTAAGTGGTTATTTCACAATACACCAAAGTCATTCAGCTCTTTAATAAACATTCAAATATATCAATCGTATTTTAATTATAAAACAATGTTATTGCTGTACAGTACAATTAAATAACTTTACAATTAATATAAAAACATTATTTATTACAATTTTTTAAATGATTAACTTAATGATCTTTTTTATCTTGATAAAATCATTTCAGAAAGCAGCTTGAGGTTCCATCCAGTTTAAAAATAAACATACATTGGTCAGTCAAATTGAAATCAAACCATAATCACATTTACAATTAAAATCAAGATGAACAGATGTCGTAAATGAAACCAGATATTTATCTGCATTTTGATTAACATTTTCAAATTCTGATGATAAACCCAACAAAAATAGCATCTGACTTGAGTTGCCAAATGTTAAATTGAGGTAGAAATTTTATATGATATCTATATTAAACATGATAGAAAAATGTTCAACATTTTACAATTATGTACAAATGAGTATATGAAATGAATGGGAATTACACTTATACTGACTAAAAAATTATCAATAATATAAAACATGACTAGGATAATATATGAAAGACTACATGGAATGACTAGCTTTGTATCATTAACAAAATCTTTTTTTGTACAGGAAAACATAATCAAAGGAAGATACTAGCTATTACTGAAATGTACATTCTTTGGCATCTTTAGGTTTGAGCACCACATTTTGCTCTAAAATGAACACATGCAAGTCTGGAATGTTTCTTATCCTCCCAATATAATTTCCACAAATATTTTGGCACTAGATATAAACAGGGATCATTATTGCACTTATATTAATACTAAAAAACATAAAGCATATCACATTGCTAACGTGCTTTGATACGTTTCATGTAATACTGATTGGAGGGTGGTACACGATTCATGAAGCTGGTGGCACTTTTTCTCAAAATGTTTTTCACGTTTGATAGAATCTCTGAGTGACTGCAATAACTTATTATTGTCAGCATACAAGTCTTTATTTTTTGTTAACTGAAACGAGAAAAATAAAAAGAAATTTTACCAGTTTTCAAACAGGTTCACTAATGGTTGGAATATATTGACTAATTTGATAGTAGTTTTGTAAAGTCTATATTTATATGATTGAAAAGCTCATCTTAACAAGTTTTTTTTTAACCTTTTAATAACAGACAGGCAATTCTGATCCTTGTCAAGTTTATTTATAACTATCTGTTATTAACTAGATCTAAACCATAATCTGCATCAAACTCACCATTGAACGATAATTTTCACTAACTTCTTGATAGGATGTCCTATACATTTGTAGTTTATTCACTAATTTTTGATTTTCTGCTTGTAAAACTGACATCTTCTTACTATGCTCTGTTACCAGCTCTGAAAAATAGAAAATGAAATGATTTTTTTAAGATTTACAGCAATATTGCCCTTGAACCAGGGAACAATATAAGCAATTAGATGTAGCTTCTGAAATGCAACATTTGTTGATAAGGGATATCAACCAACTGTCATATGATATTTTTACTAACATTGATAGAAGAAAATTTCAAACAAGTCACTGGGTAAAATCAATTGATCAAACTAGATAGACCCAACAATTATTCACATTTTTACACATTCTGAAATTTTGTCTATGAAATGGTTTTATTGACTATAACTGTGCTTTTCAGACATTAAGTGAGTACAATAACAAAAATAGAACAAATAGATTGATCAATTCAAAAATACATTCCAAAGTTTAAAATAACGTACAAATCAGCATTTTTACCTTTATGAAGTTTTTCATTAGCACTACTTTGGTCTCTTAAAGCTTTCTGTAGAGACAACACCAATCTTTGTTGTTCAAATAACTGTAACTGTAGAACAGTATAATTTTCTATATTTGCCAGATCTGATGTAGTTTCTTTCCATGATTCCACTTGATTTAATGATTGACATTGTGACTTGGTGAGATCACAAACACTCTCAAATAACTACAATCAAAATAGAACAGTATGAAATAGTGACAAACTGGTATACTTTAGTATTAAATTTTCACGAAAATGAGTGATAAAATCTATCAGCTGACAAAGGGCGCTAAAGTCTCCAGGTTCAGAGAATTTTTAGGTAAATGGTATTACATCAATTGTTGGTCAAAAATATAAATTTGCAATTAATAAAGAAAGGTCAAATAGGAGACAAGATTACACTATGACATCAGGTAAGTCCACTGACGAACAAGGACTCATTTTTTTCAATTTTTGTTCTATAATGGATACTCTAATTCCAAGCCATTCCTGAAGCTGTTACTTTAGTTTGATACCAATCAACCTATTATTTCTAGATAATAAGGTGCAACAAATAGATTGACATTCCTCGCAAGACAAGAAAGACTTGATTCCAGGGACAGTGCTTATAAAAGTCAATTGAAATAGAAATCTTTATAAACTTGTGGATCATAATAAGAGCATTTAGAAAAGTTTAATTTAACATGCATATTTTTTGTGTCTGTCACAACATGAAAGAGATTAAAATCATTTTGTAAGTAAATTCTATTTGTTACTGAAACTGAAAAACATTGAAAACTTTTAGACAGTCTTAACTTGATACTGAAATACACTGAATACTTGAGACATAAAAAAAAACTATTTCATAAAATTCTAAAAAAAAACACAAGTTTACTAACAATATACAATATATACATATACTATAAAAACTAACAGCCATAGTTTTACAATAATTATTGTATGAGCATTAATAGGAACCAACCAAATTACTTTTTTTTAACAGACGGCCTGCTCTAGGATTTATTATCTAAATCTTCCTTTCACTTGTCAAATTGTTTGTATTTGTAAAAGGGAAACTTAACATGGATAGACCAAGCCCAAGGCAATGCCTGTACCTAGCGAATCATTAATATTTTTGTAACATTATGCAAGCAGCTGTTCTTTTAAATCCTTAATTGCTACTGAACAGTGTTCATATATCAGATGTCATGGACAAGAGCAAGCCCTGTAATATCACCAAAATCACAGAATAAATAAGAATCATTATAAATAAGCAGAGTATTTTCGAGTTAGTACTGCCAATCTTTATAATTTGACTAAAGAATTGAGCATGCTCTATTTACAATATCTAGATTCATTCTTAAAAAAGTTTTGTTTACTTCTAAATCTTGTCTCATAGATATAAACCATGTATTCTATCAAATAGAACAAAATATCCATTAAAAACACAAGCTTTGAATCATTTCAACAGTGGGTTGAATCAAGCCAACTAAAATCTGCTAGTGGAATATAAGGTATACCAGTTATGTCCTGAGCACTGTTCATTTTGCCTCATATTGTTTGAGATACAATCATAAAAATGTTCAGGGAATTACATGGAAATAGATTAATATTGCCCTTTTTGTTTATTCATAGAATAAATTAATGAATAATTCTTATTTAGATATTTTAATATCTGGACACACTTACCTGATCTGTTATTTTCTTTAAAATAGTTTCAAATTTATGTCTCTCTTTCTGTAGATTGATGACTTGATCCTAAAAAAAAAATTAAATCATACATCAGTATTTATACCCCAATTTGCGTCAATTCATTTCCAATGTTTTCAAAAAATGTCCTTAATTTTAAAACTGGAATAATTAAAAGTTCTTGTCATGCACTTTAGCTTTGAGTCTAGGAGTATAAACTAAATAGGATACCTTATCACTTTTATGGCGGACTTTATCCATCTCCTGCAATTGTTTTCTTAAATTTTCTGCTAATCTTTTATACTCATCTTTTCTACACATCATTTGATGTAACTCTTCCTGTTAAAATAAACATCAACTTTAAAATTTATATAATCATATTTTTTTTAACAGAAATATATTTGAAAAACGTCTTTCAATAAATGGCTTACAATTAGAATGACAATTAGTATAACATCTAAATATAATATTTTAATATATTTATAAATGTTCATTGAGAATTTTATTGTCTAATAGAATTATTCAACAAAAATTAACAAGTTTGGGTACCTGTAATAATTTAATTTTAGCTTCATCAGCTGTAGGTACTGGTAGATTAGTACTATTATTTAACTCTTCACTCTTCATATTCTCTTTATTCTCTGATCCAAGCTAAAATAATATAATATAAGCTCTGATCAGAAATACATAGGCTAAATATAATATTACTAGTATATCTAATGTTTTGTCTATACTTTGGGACTCCAATAAGCGGTTTCCCAAAAAAATATATCAAAAATGAATATAAAATTCAAGTCAAATTTGTTACCAGTTTTATAACTATTTAATCATTAATAAAAAAGATTTGAAATCATATAAGATGTCATCAAGTTGTAGCAAAATTGGATCAAGATACCTCTATCACATTCACAAGATGTATATAAGGCAATAACAAAAACAAGATTTTCCTAAATATTAATGAATATCAAACTCTTCACCAAAATACATTGGCATACAAAGTTTCAGAAATCAGATTAAAACTGTAGCCCCTATTGCAGTCACATGCTAAATGCAGACCAAAAAACCAGAATGACAACAATAAACATATAACTTACAAGGGAATTGGATTGTTGTTGAGCAGCCATGTTAATTTGTTCAAATTCAGTAAGTAACCTTTTCTCTAACGTATCTTTTTCGGCTACAACATTTTCATACTTGACCTAAAACAATAACACAGCAATTTTAATCAGTTATTCCAGAATGGA